AGTAATTCTGAGCGCGTTGGAGAGCATCAGCGAGGTTTACAGTCATGTCATTGATCACAGAGTTGCAGTAAGTGAAGTGGGGGAAGACAAGTGATTTGACGAGATGTATTTTTATGTGCATTGGCAAAAAGTTTTGTAATTTAAGTTTATTAAATTACAATTAAATTACAATTAGTTAAATTAAATTACAATTAGTTAATTTAGTTTTTGTAAGTTTTGTAACCTGGTGTGGGGAAATGGGAAATTTTTTGTGTGTGTTTCATGATTTTCACTATTTTTCTTCATTAAAATTAATAATTATATGTGGCTGCAGTGGTGATTATCATTATTATGTGCAATAACAGAATTTTGAAATAGGTCCCAATTACCCCAGCATGGGATTATTAGTAATAGGTAACAGTAATAGGTCCCAACTACCCCGATTCCAGTCTCATCGCGTGGTTACATCGGATTGGAATCACAGATGTACAGAAAAGTTAAACATTTATTTTACAACTACTTGATAAGAGACTAGGCCCTAAAAGAGTGATGTAAGCCCATAATTGGCCTATTGACTTATTTTTGGACTGACAATTACCGTTAATTTGAAATTCTTTTGGCCGAAAAAGCAAAATTTCAGAAAGTTTTTGTATGACCAGAAAAAATGTTCGACATAAAATATACTTGTAGTTTTTTTATTTAACTATACATGTATTTAACAGTTTAAAGCTAGGTATATTTTCTGGCTATATGTACTGGTTAATTTCTCCTATTTTATTTTTAAAAAAGTGGAATCTTTTGGAAAAAAGTTTAAACTGTTGTATAGTCCTAAAAAATTGTTTTTCAATAAAAGTATGTTGCATAATGTTTATTATGTTTTCATTTTTAGAACCCAATTACCCCCACAAATTAATATTAGGTGCAATTTGGGTCTTCAATAAGTATAGGTGAATTTATTTAACCCAAATTGAATTGATTTTTTTCATAGTAAAATTTAATTTAAAAAATTACAAACAATGTGATAAGAAGACAAATTACAGTTGAAACCGTGTGCATGCTCATATTTTGATTTTTTCTTACAATAAACAAATAATTGAAAAAAATTAAAACATGGATCCCAATTCCCCCAGTCTACCCTATATAAATCTATATATACATATATAAAAATTTGTATAAAAAAACTATTAGCGTTTTTGTCTCTAAGGACATCAAAATGAAAAATATATTGGTCTCGGACCACCTACGTTAATAGCTATTTCCTTATAGGGAAATTCGCTACAAACCATCATCAATAAAATTTAATTATTTTACAATAGCAATACACACTTGGGTGTGTATTTTAAACTAAACATGAGTACAAGGTGAGTGTAGAATGGAGTTAGATGGACTTTGTTACTGACGAAGATCAGTTGTGTGGATTCAAACTAAAACCTCCAATAATCATGAATAGCTTAGCCCAGTTTTGTACCACCAAGAATTTACTGTCTTTTCTCAGGATTGAGCTGGAGACCTTCTCATTACTGGGCAAGCATTATATCTATTTTACTCTACAACACACACTTTACTTTGTGGCAAGTTCATAAAAAATAGGTATCCTACTCATTTTTTCTGGAAAATGAATACTAAACAGGTTTTTTAAAAGTTCAAATCTTTATTGTCATGCATATAAAATTAAGGCTATACACATAAAAGTGTAAATGTTAGTACAGTAATACATTATTTCTAGACATTATTCACAGTGCAAAGCTATATATCATAATTCATAAGGAATACATTTTAAGGCACTATAAAATACTTCTGAGATTATGTCAACATGGCAAGATAATATGACACTTCAAACAGTCTTTCAGTATATCATTCCCCAAGTAATTCTTAAGGAGAGACTTTAAGGTACTTTGTAATGTGATGTTAATTAAACCCCCAAGATTATTATAGCAGACTAACATGGTTGAAACAACAGGGTTTCTACGAGTTCACTAAAAGTAAAATCGGAGACTTTTGATGACCAAATTAAATAAAAATAGGTGACCTTGGAATGCGTATGGTATGGAATTTTCATACAACGAATATAATATAGCCTGCCAGTATCTAAACATAAAATAAATCCTTAAACATAAATTTATCTTTTAAAACTGACAAGTAATTTAAACTGACGATCTTTGATTGTTATACCTATATTGTGTCAAGATAATCATAACTAATTTCGTTAAATGATATTAACATTAACTAACAAATTTGAATATAAAGAGACAGAATAAGGTGGGGGGGAGCTGAAACCTCCCAGCTAGTACGCCCACTGTGCCCATCCCCCAGCCCCACTGTGCCCATCCCCCAGCTAGTACGCCCACTGTGCCCATCCCCCAGCTAGTACACCCACTGTGCCCATCCCACAGCTAGTAAGCCCACTGTGCCCATCCCCCAGCTAGTACGCCCACTGTGCCCATCCCCCAGCTAGTACGCCCACTGTGCCCATCCCCCAGCTAGTACGCCCACTGTGCCCATCCCACAGCTAGTACGCCCACTGTGCCCATCCCACAGCTAGTACGCCCACTGTGCCCATCCCCCAGCTAGTACGCCCACTGTGCCCATCCCCCAGCTAGTACGCCCACTGTGCCCATCCCCCAGCTAGTACGCCCACTGTGCCCATCCCACAGCTAGTACGCCCACTGTGCCCATCCCCCAGCTAGTACGCCCACTGTGCCCATCCCCCAGCTAGTACGCCCACTGTGCCCATCCCCCAGCTAGTACGCCCACTGTGCCCATCCTCCAGCTAGTACGCCCACTGTGCCCATCCCCCAGCTAGTACGCCCACTGTGCCCATCCCCCAGCTAGTACGCCCACTGTGCCCATCCCACAGCTAGTACGCCCACTGTGCCCATCCCCCAGCTAGTACGCCCACTGTGCCCATCCCCCAGCTAGTACGCCCACTGTGCCCATCCTCCAGCTAGTACGCCCACTGTGCCCATCCCCCAGCTAGTACGCCCACTGTGCCCATCCAGATATACATTTGTTGGTGACTTCCGTGAACCTCTACTAAGATTCGGCCATTTTGCGACTTCGGTGACCAGTAGACACCCTGAATAGATAATGCTTTAGATAGTGTCATATTTAGAAGAATTTTCAGCAAGCAGTGAAATAACTTACAATATGCACAAAAAATGCCAAATTAGTTAAATCATCGAGTGCAAAAGATCAAGCTTACAATGAATACTTTTTTACGTTTCCAGTGCTCGATTTGCGGGAAAATGTGGCGGATGTAGAGGAGGCTCCGGTGCTAACTACAACTAGAGTCACACCTGTTAAACTCCTTCTAGACCCAGACACTAGCGAGGGTCTTATACAGGCTGAGCGGGTCCACACTATGGCTACACTCAATGTGTTCGCCACACAATAGACTTAACCCCGTCAGAACCTACCTTGCCGTTTTTCCCACGGACCACGGTTGACTCTTCTCTTTTAGACAGAGAACAATCCATTTGTACCTCCTGATGTTGAGTCACCTCAGATAGAGAACAATCCATTTGTCCACGATCTCCTATGACAGAGGACGCAAGTGATCTAGAACCAATCCGGTTGTTCACCCAAACCGAGTCGAATCCGTTCCTGACCGAGAGGTTTGAAAGAGGGGAAGTGATTCCTTCTGAATCTGAAGAAGACCAAAAAATAAGGGGACACAGCCCTCGTTGTAATTTTTTTGTCTTAGTCTTTATGTTTCACAAAACAGTAATTATTTAATCTATTTTTCTTTACCTCAAATTTTGGTGTTTCTGCTATATAGTAAATAAATAACTCAGTAAAACGAACAGCACTAACCTTCCAAACTAAACAAAATTCAACTATAAAGTTTTTTTCTAAAATAGCTATCAACTACATGGAAATAAAAGTTATATAACTTAGTACCTACTTAAGTAATAAGTTTTATATTTTAACAGCCACGTCAATATTATATAATAACTATTAAAATATATTTAAATAAAAGTTAAGCCTAGTTACAATATAACATGTAATGTATCAACATTAAGTTAAATATCATAAAACACAAAGAATATGCAAGCAATGAGTATTAAATTATGATGCTTGGTTTTAGATCTGACAAAGTAAAACTGGTCTTAATCCTTCTTGTTTGATCACATCATACAATTAATTAGCATATTAGAATTGAGATTCTAAATGTAACACTAAGAGATTCCATACAAGTCCTAGTTTTATAACTATATTTTTGCATTCTACACCAGTGGTAACTTGTTTATATTTTATCATGAGAGAAATAACAAAGTTTTAGTAAGGTTTGAACAATCTAAAACCGGCAAGGGCGCCTGCAGAGAACTATTTCAGGGGTGGGGTGTTAACCGATATCTGGTTGTGAGGAGAAGAAGCCGTTTTAATCTAAAACACTTAAAAACATATTTTTTGAGCGGAGCGAGCGAAGCGAGCGAAGCTCTTATACGTCGACTTTTATGCATTTCGTAATACGCAAACTCCTCCTAGACGGCTGAATCAATCGTTTTCAAATTTTGCATGGTGATAAAGACCATATCGGTGAGTGCCAACATCTATATGGCGTTAAAAAAGTCTCTCAGGAATCCGTAGAAAAATGAAACTGAAAATCACATTTTCTTAACATTAGTCTTATGGGTTGCTAGGTAACCATGTTGGCTGAATTAAATAACAAGTAAAAAGTAAACAAAAGATTTGAAGTTTTAGCATGTGTTCATAATAAGCCAACTACCCACAGTATACTAGGAAATTACAAATACAGTACAAAAGGAAAAACATCACTTGTTAATATTGAGCAAAGATTATACTTAAGATTACTCGATACATTGTAGTCAAGGGTAGCAGTGCGAAGTCTAGGATCTGTTTATGACGAATACATTAAGGTATCTGCAATCCTAAAATGCTATGGGAAGGGAAGGAAACAGGTCCGTGACGTAGGAAGTAGTGAAGGAAGTAGTAAAGGCAATCATAAAATGCTATGGGAATAGAGGGAAACAGGTCCGTGACGTAGGAAGTGATATGAAGGAAGTAGTAAATGCGAGCAGTCCGGAGTGTGGGGACTGTTTATGACGATAAGATTAGGGTATCTGCAATCCTAAAATGCTATGGGAAGGGAGGAAAACAGGTCCGCGACGTAGGAAGTGGTGAAGGAAGTAGTAAATGCGAGCAGTCCGGAGTGTGGGGACTGTTTATGACGATAAGATTAGGGTATCTGCAATCCTAAAATGCTATGGGAAGGGAGGGAAACAGGTCCGCGACGTAGGAAGTGGTGAAGGAAGTAGTCAAGGCGAGCTGTCCGGAGTGTTGGAACTATTATGACGATTAGATAAGGGTATGGGCAATCAAAAATGCTATGGGAAAGGGAGGGAAACAGGCCCGTGACGTAGGAAGTGGTGAAGGAAGTAGTCAAAGCGAGCTGTCCAGAGTGTGGGAACTGTTTATGACGATTAGAGTAAGGTATCTGCAATCTTTAAATGCAATGGAATGGAGGGAAAAAGGTCCATGACGTAGGAAATTGTGTAGGATGTAGATGTGTGGATTTATGTATCTCCAATACTACGGTGCTTTCAGAGTGAACTAATGATTTTCCCCGAGCAAAGCTCGGTCCCCAGGTACTATAATCAAATGACGACACTAGCTTGAGGTTCGTGACGTATGAAGAGGTCAAGGAAGTAGTAAAGGTGAACAGTCTGGAGTGTGGAAACTGTTTATGACGATTAGATTAGGGTATCTGCAATCCTAAAATGCTATGGGAAGGGAGGAAAACAGGTCCGCGACGTAGGAAGTGGTGAAGGAAGTAGTCAAGGCGAGTAGTCCGGAGTGCGGGAACTGTTTATGATGATTAGATTAAGGTATCTGCAATCTTTAAGTGCAATGGGAAGGGAGGGAAACAGGTCCGCGACGTAGGAAGTGGTGAAGGAAGTAGTCAAGGCGAGCTGTCCGGAGTGTTGGAACTATTATGACGATTAGATAAGGGTATGGGCAATCAAAAATGCTATGGGAAAGGGATGGAAACAGGTCCGCGACGTAGGAAGTGGTGAAGGAAGTAGTCAAGGCGAGTAGTCCGGAGTGTGGGAACTGTTTATGACGATTAGATTAAGGTATCTGCAATCTTTAAATGCAATGGAATGGAGGGAAACAGGTCCATGACGTAGGAAATTGTGTAGGATGTAGATGTGTGGATTTATGTATCTCCAATACTACGGTGCTTTCAGAGTGAACTAATGATTTTCCCCGAGCAAAGCTCGGTCCCCAGGTACTATAATCAAATGACGACACTAGCTTGAGGTTCGTGACGTATGAAGAGGTCAAGGAAGTAGTAAAGGTGAACAGTCTGGAGTGTGGAAACTGTTTATGACGATTAGATTAGGGTATCTGCAATCCTAAAATGCTATGGGAAGGGAGGAAAACAGGTCCGCGACGTAGAAAGTGGTGAAGGAAGTAGTCAAGGCGAGTAGTCCGGAGTGCGGGAACTGTTTATGACGATTAGATTAAGGTATCTGCAATCTGTAAGTGCAATGGGAAGGGAGGGAAACAGGTCCGCGACGTAGGAAGTGGTGAAGGAAGTAGTCAAGGCGAGCTGTCCGGAGTGTTGGAACTATTATGACGATTAGATAAGGGTATGGGCAATCAAAAATGCTATGGGAAAGGGAGGGAAACAGGCCCGTGACGTAGGAAGTGGTGAAGGAAGTAGTCAAAGCGAGCTGTCCGGAGTGTGGGAACTGTTTATGATGATAAGATAAGGGTATCTGCAATCCTAAAATGCTATGGGAAGGGAGGAAAAATGGTCCGCGATGTGGGAAGTGGCGAAGGAAGTAGTAAAGGCGAGCTGTTCGGAGTGTGGGATCTGTTTATGACGATTAGATTCAGGTATCTGCAATCTTAAAATGCTATGGGAAGAGAGGGAAACAGATCCGCGACGTAGGAACAGGTGAAAGAAGTAGTAAGGTGAGCAGTGTGGAGTGTGGGAACTGGAAACCGTTTGTAGCAGTTCGATTAATGTAACTGCAATGCTGAAATGCTATGAGAAGGGATGGAAGCATGCCCAAGACATAGGAAATTGTGAAAGAAGTAGTAAAGTCTAGCAGTACGGACAGTGGGGATGTTTGTTGCAATTAGATTAACGTATCTAAAATACTAAAATGCTATGGAAAGCGATGAATACAGGTCCACGACGTAAGTGGTGAAGGAAGTAGTAAAGGCTGGCAGTGCAGAGTGGGGGAACCGTTTGAGCAGATGGATAAGTGAATTTGTAATACTTAAATGCTATGAGAAAGGAAGGAAACAGGCCAATGACGTAGTAAATGGTGAAGGAAGTAGTAAGGTTAACAGCGCAGAGTGTGGGAACTGTCTTTGGCAATTACATTAATGTATCTGCAATCCTAAAATGCTATGGGAAGAGAGGGAAACAGGTCCACGACGTAGGGTGTGGTGAAGGAAGTAGTAAATGTGAGCAGTGTTGAGTTTGAGAATGGATTAATGTATCTGCAATGCTAAAATGCTACGGGAAGAGACTGTAGACTGTAATATGTTAAAAATGATTACGAAGCACAAATCGATACATATTTTCGATACATGCAATCGTTTACAATCGAAATTTACAACTGAGTTGACAACAGCTGATTTTTACTCCATAGAGGCTAAAAACGATTTTTACTCCCTAAATATTAAAAATGCTACTTTAGACCCGCAGCGCATTCATGAAAAAATACTGTTTTTACTGCAGTAAGACAAAAACAATATAATATGAAACCTTGATGACTCCGCTCAATTTTGTGGATGCCTCTGCGAACGCCACCTAGTAAGCTTAAACACTCAATTATACATTAAAAAATATACTTATTTAACACTACAGTTGTTAACGAATCGAATAACAAACAGAATTGATACTAGAGTAAAAATGAAAAGAATAGTAGTTTTCATCATTAGGAGATGAAGTGGCTCTTTTTGGTGCGCAATGGAAATATGATTAAGTAAGCTACCAAAAAGACACTTTCCCTCCTTGTGATGAATAACTATTTTCATCATACTGTGGAAATAACCTTCTAATCGTTACAAAATTATACCACATAATTTCAAGTTATACGAAGTCATTATTAATATTTACATTTCTGTTGTTTACACACATAGCTTTAAATATCGTTTGGTTAGCAGCGTTTTGATAATGCATTGACAAAATTTTGAGGTTAGCGAACCAAAAATTTGCCATACGTTTTTTCTGTTCCCTATTTAAAGTTGCCTGAAAACGACAAATTTGCGGACAATTTAAAGAACTAAAAACGGCTGCTTTCCGGGACAGTATGACGAAAACATATTTTTAATGATACATGATGTAGGAGCAAAACTATTTGAGCTCTATTTAAAAATATTATTGACATGAAAACTTAATACTGGTCACTTTTCCTAGGCTAATCAAACACAATAATGTTTTTTTCCAAAAGTTCTTCTTTTTGTTTTTTATGCTGTGTTTCTATGTAGCCTGTAACAGGCACTGGCAATATTTCTTACAACACCTGATATTTTATATTGGTGTTCCTGTTTAGTTGTTAACTCTTTTTTCATTGGTTTATTACTTTAATGATCACAAGTCATAGCCTACAAGGATTTATTTTGGATGCAATGTGCTGTCTATAACTGTACAGAAGTTAATAAATTTCTAAATTTTGTCCTCTCTAACCCCCCACTCTCTTCACTGCAGGCGGCCTTGAAAACAGTTCAAATACTACAAGATAACAGTATAAAAATACTAAATATACCTACAGTGGACATAAATGCAACAATATCTATGTTCTAAAACACAGTCAAAAATACTTTTTGATTCTACATAATACCTGAAGACTTAGGAACCAGCTCAATGACAACCGCAGCTCTTCACCACCATGTTCTTGTACTTTTTCAATATGACATTTGAATCATCAAGGAAGTATAAGACGGATATTGGAGTCAGCTTGGTGGGTGCACAGTACGGCTTGGGTACATCGTAGGGATACATGAGGTGTACTAACGTCTGGACGATCGCGTGGTTAGTAGCGTTCATGTGGGCGTTTAGTGGGAAGTTACATTCCCCACTGCAGTAAAATGCACCGTAACCATCCGGAGCAATTATCCAGTCCTGCAAACCGTTATTGGAGATCAGTTCAAATGTAGTGAATCAACTAACAAATTGAGTAAGTTAATAAATTGTCAAAAATCAAAACGTGATAAGTTAGTAATACATTGCTCAGAGAGATCTTAAATTGTAATAAGTACAATGAATCAAATTTACAAATTCAGTCAATAGTTATTTGTGTAACTAGTGGGTGAAGTGGCACTTTGCACACGAGAGCATGGAAAGTTTCTCGAGTGCAGTAAAGGCTGTTTGCACTCGTGTTACACATTATATTTTTCCTACAGTTACTATAAATCATATACATAATTAGTCTTTCAAACACTGTACAACACGTTTTTAGGTTAGGTTAAATGCAAACATTGAACGAAATGGGAAACGCTGTTCCAGCTGATTGTAGTCGTAGTTTCTTAAAGTGTTGCCAACATATTTCCGAGCATACACGAACTACGTGCATAGTAAAAGCACAATGTTTGGTGTTGTTTGGTTGGAATACTGGTGTGCGAAAAAGTAAAAAGTGTGCGGTAAAGTAAGTAAATGCAGCAGTCAGCAGCTTTCTGTACTATAAGCAGTGCAAGGAAACTCACTTTGTCGGGTGATTGTAGGAAAAATTATTTTTGTTGGGAGAGAAGGTTAGCTTAAATAGAGAAGAGTCTATTTTGGCACAAGGAACACATAAACACCAATCCAATGGTGAAGGACACAATCAACATAAAACAACAAACAAGTAAGTTTTGGAAATTGCAATAATTATTACCTTACATAAAACATCAGGCATATGGTTTTGGCTGGTGAATTTGAGGGGTGCTTAGTACTTATTGACTAATGGTACTTAAAGGTAATGGAGTAAGGTTTTTACATGATTTTAATTTAGAAAATTAAACTGTTTGTGTTATCTCTAAATATACAAGTTAAATGTGAAAAGGACCAAGTGATCCTAACGTTTACTGATGGAATAAAGAGTTTTTGCAATACTTTACCTGCCATCCTAAGTCCCGAAAGCTGACATAAAGAGTTTGAATCTGGCAACTTCTAGTAGACCAGAAAGGTGATGGATCTGAAATTTTATAAAATTTAAATCATTCAGTAGAACTTTATGTACATATCTCATGATGATGATTTACACTTAAACGTTTGTAAGTAGTCTAACAAATAAATTTTCTTTTTTTTTAGTGAAAATTAATTCTCGAGGCAATACACGACATTCAACTCTTTGGTCAGGGATCATTCATTGATTTATTTATATCTTGTTATCTATTTTTATATTCTTTATCCAATTAAGTTTAGATAAATTTTTATTTGGTAACACACTTAGTTTGAGTAAACAAACAAATAAAAAAAAAATGTATTAACTTAAAACCCAATGATTTTTTTCAAAACAGAAACAGTTTTTTATGTACGAGGGCTATCCAGAAAGTAGTAGACGTTTTGAACATATACAAAATTGTAAACATTTTTATTATATACATTTTGAAGCTAACCTTTCAGGCTTTTTTTCTACATAACCCCCATTTAAATAAAGGCATTTATCATAGCGTGGTACAAGCTTTTCAATGCCCTCTTCAAATAAATCTGCCGCCTGTGAGTTCAACCTGGGACCGTGGCATCGTCCAGTATCCAGCTACTTAGATGTCAAGAACTGTGGATATTTATAGGCATGCACTTTGAGGATGCGATACTCCCTGGTGTGGATTCACGTCCACACTAGTGAGTAAACTCTTGTGAAATTTGAGGAAAATGTTTTGATAGTTCCATGATCGTAAAACGACAAATCTCATGGACTTTTTCATCGGTTTTACCACCAATTCATAAGTTACAAGACTAGGCCTACTGCTGTGATCCTCGTCATGAGGAACATTGATTCGGCCATTTTTAAAATCAATGCACCACTGCCTCACCTGGCTTTCACTCATTATTCCTTGGCCATATTACACATCACAAATCTGGCAATAAATTTCAATTAGTTTGTAATTCTTTGCCAACAAAAACCTTATCACACCACGCACTTCACAACTGGCGGGGTTTACAATTGCAGCGCTCATTTCGAAACTCCACTGCGTACAGAAGACACGATGCTCTAGCTACCACAGCTGTTGCGGACTGAGTGTAGGAACACTGATGGCGGTCCTAGCCCCGCCCAATGCCACACCAGGCCAAAATGTCCGTCAGTTTCTGGATAGCCCTCGTATAAGTTTCAACAGGGAGATCAAACGATTACTTAGTTTTCAAGGATTCCCACAGTTATCTTAAGTAAGCCGGCATTGTTAAGATCAAAAGGGCACAGAATGTGACTGGTACTCTACAATGGTCCTAACAAATCTGATAAATAGTCAATAAATATTACCTACTTTAATAGATCCAATTGGAGATACACCTAGGGTAATATAACCTATTAATAAAAAAAATAAAAAACATCTTAGAGGCTATATGAGATCTGATAAATTAACCTGACACTGTATTGCATCCAGTATAGTGATTCAGAGACTACACCACAATGAAATCTGAGAAATTAAACTACAGTAACCTAACTACCGTAAAGAGATTAAGATGAATAAAAATAAATCAACACACCCAAGGGGTTGCGTGAATAAGGAGATTCAGAGTTTTCTGCTTTCTTTCTTCGACGAATCTCTCTGGTTCTGCGAGCACGTTTTTGACTAGTTGCTTTCATGAACGCTACCATGAACGGTTGTTTTTCTTCCTCTCCTTCCAAACTAGCAGAAACCACACCGATGTCTTCAGGTCTCATTTCGTGAACTTAAAAACAAAGTTTGGATTTAGACAACGAGAAACTGTTCTACATGAGAACACAGATAGGCCTAATGTTTTTCTGTCTGATCTAAAATTAAACTGCTATTTCTAACCTATCTAAAGTTAACAGCAGATCAATTTTGTATTTATGATGCACTAGCAGAATACCCGTCCTTCGTACGGGGTTGGCATATAAGTTTAAAATGCTTATTGCAGTTATACTCAAGCTTTGCGTTTGCAATGGGGGAGGACACAGATTGGTCAAATTTGCTTCTTTAAATTGACAGCATACTATGGTATTACACATCTACCATAGCCATAATGTTCTTATACTTCACCTAAACAATAAAAAAAAAAATTATTAAAAATTTGCAAAAAATCACAAACTATTCATGTGATGATGTTTTGTACTTAAGTAAATAGTATGCCTCAATAAGTTAGAAAATTTGTTAAATAACTGCAAATTGTTTTACTTTTGATTTTTGTAATTTTAATTTTAATTAACTCTATTGTAATTCTTGAGATAAAACTCCAATCTAAGTACAATTGGCTCAAACCAATGTAATGAGTTAATCAAGAAATAAACCCTTCCCGGAGAGGTGAAAGATTCTGTAGACTTGGTTGGTCATTTGGAGTACTAATGTAAAAGGGCAAGAAATTAAAATTATTTGTTTTCTTTACAAAATTATTTCTGTCTGCAGAGGGTTAAGATTCAAACCACTCACCGGCACCTTGTGGCTGAACAGACAGGTAGAGGCCCCGATTGGTCCGGGGGAAGGCCACCCAGGAGGTCAAGGGCCCGGTCATGTTGAATATGAGCCACCCATCATGGTTGCGACTTGTATTCACAGCATCGATAAACTCCAGCTCCTTCTCTCTGCAACATTGAACATTTTCAGATTATGGATCAAGTTTATAGGTAAGACATAAGACATAAGACATTTATTGATCTTTAGGCAAAATTACATGCAATCGATCTTGTCATGGACGCTTGAAATGCACAAGACAGTCATATACTGAATAATACCCCCACCGTAGCAAACCTGCAGATTGAGCGAATTTCAATTTGTCTCATTAGATTTTTACTCAAACATTTCCATTAACAAGCTATTCCCTATTTCAATAGCATTAGATTTAACAAGTTCTTAAGTTTGCTGCAACGGGGGAAGGAAAGAGTATTTTTGATCAGTTGCTAATGGTATAGGACGAAATAAATCAATTTGCCAAATTTAATCAAAATACTACCAAAACCAGCAAATTACAAGTTTTTTTTTCTCCATAAACAATAGGAATTCTAAATGGTTTTTTATTTAATTCTCTGCGTAACCATTAATCCTCCAACAACGCTTCCATCATAGGCTATACACACAATTTTTAGTTTTCTTAAGCTTTACACAATGGTTTCAATCAGAGTTGAGATTTTTTTGTTTTAAGTGTAAAAATAAATAAACTAGCCTAATTTAAAAAAAAATGTGTTTAAACATAGGCCTAACTTAAATGTCGATCAATGGTCAGGGGGTCAATGAAATGCACTTATTACCTAATGAAATTCCCTACTAGGGTATATATTTTAGTGTGGCTTTTAAATTACCTACTAAATTAAATAATTTACAATCAAACAAAGAAAAAAAACTGATGCGGCTATCACTGAAGGGCTTCATGAAGAAAACTCGTCTGCCTTTTTAGAGAAAAATTCCCAACCTGAATCACCATCGAGAGCAGATGACGACGACACTGAAGCAAATCGAAATCAAAGTCAAGAGCAAAATCAAAATGTTGGTCTTGTGGAAGCGGAAGCTAATAATGCCAAGAGTGTTGTGAATGTGATTGATACTCCATCTAAACAAAGAAACATTAAATTGGGTTGTAGTGGGACTAGTACAAGTGTACCGAAAGAAATAAACCATTTGGGAAAAAGCGGTAGCACTTCCAATCTGTATTCCAATGTTCTAAAATCAGCTAACACCCGTGTTTCAGTTGGTAGAGTCTCCAAGAGTGACATACATCGCAATAAAAATAGTGTTGTAGAAGTGATTGGGAAAAATAGTAAATCTTCTTGCTTAAAAACTGCGGGAAAGTACGAATGGCTGTTTGTCTCCCGACTCCTACCCTCGACAACGACAGATAACAAGGCTTAACTTCATGAAGAAAAGTGAAATCCAAAATGCTGCATGTGTTGAACTGAAGACAAAGCATCCAACCTACAAGTCTTTCGAAGTGGGAATTGACGAAAGTTCGCTGGATAAAGTCCTAACTCCCGAGTTTTGGCCTGAGGGAATTTATGTGAGGAAATACATACCAACCAGACACCGGCAGGAGAGACAGCAAGGTAGGCCTACCATTGACTCCAATGCTTTTTTAGAGAGGCAACCCCAAAACACGAGGCAAGGAAGATGCAATCGGTAAGTGTTTGTAGACCTATACAAGACGTAGATATAATCCTATCTGATAATGAAATTGACTTAAGGTCCAGTACCTCTGATGTAAAGTTGACAATTGGACATTTGAATGTCCAATGCTTGCGAAATAAATTTGACTCTGTGAGTATACTTTGTAGAGATGAGGACATTGACATGTTGAGTGTTTCTGAACACTGGTTAGCAAACAGTGAGGTACAATTCTACAGTAAACTGGTAATAAAGTTAAGAATAATAGTGTCAGGTCTATTATAACAAAGTGCTGAAAAGGATATGTAGGCTAACGTACTGTACTTGAGCATGATACAGCTCTAGCTATTTAAGGCAAAGATAGATTTTAAGTAATTGTAGATTATTAGCTCACCCATCCTCCATAAGAAGTTGATAGATAGTGATTGTGAAGTTCTCTCCGGGGTCCATAGAGTAGTTTGAGTTTTGATACAGCCTTAACTCGGCATCAACCACAGTTTCTCCAATAGGAATCTCAGAAACATCGAACCACAGTCGTTTACCTCGCTCATGCCTGACACTGCTGACATGTTTATCTGGGGAAGAAGATAGCCTAGATTTAGATGCGATTGTACTAAGTTATACAAAGTTAAGTTAGTTTACTATTATTTAAGTTAGGCTAATTTGATTCCTTGTAAGTCCTACTGTAATTCCTAATTTTTTTAAACAACAAAATTGGGATAAAGTTCTGCAGAGAACCTGCATCATACTAACTTATCAGTTTAAATATTGAAACTAGCGATTATAAGTTAATTCAATTCTATATACCTACACCTATCGCTTCAAAAGAAATTTTCACAATGCAGGCCTAAGCATAAAAAAATTGAGTTATGATAAGTTCTGTTCAACTTAAATGTTTTTGTTATAGGTAACGTAACTTACTTTCCTGTTAAAGGGAACATTCATTATTACCTATTGATGATTTTTTTATATATTTAAGTTTATTGATATTTTATTTTAAATTCAATGTAAAACTTAGTCCTATTGATATTAAAACTTTAACCGAAACCCTGGGTCTGACAGGCCCACGGTAATTTTCACAAACGCATGTTGTCAACAATGTTTACTTGGGGGATTCCATTCACCCAATACCTTCCCCCCTTTTCCTCCTCTACCCGTTGATATATTGTTTATTCATTTTCGTGGGTGTCATGAGCTTGTTGTCTGTTCATAACATGCCCGTCTCAGAAGCCCAGCATTAGTGTAATTTAAAAAAAAAAAACGGGGTCTCGCATGCCCATGGTTTTGTTTTGAGCGTTTCTAAGCGGGGTTCATTGTTTTCAAATGGGGTCCAACAGACCCAGGGTTTCGGTTGATGTTACTAAGTTAAGTAGGCCTACATAAATGATAAAATTAAACTGTTACCGGTATGTAGCCCAGTTAAGAAACTGTACCCCATATTATATTTCAAAAATAAATATGAGACCAGGCTAGGCCGAAGTTTAGCTATATTGCCCAAGTTAAGCTTGAATTTAAAAAAATTCAAATTTGTAACTTACTGTTGCTTGTAAATGTCATAATCACATCACTCTCGTCAATTGCATGTAAATCTCTCCCACTAAGAAAGAATTCACTCCTAGTTGTTCTGCTAAGCGAACTGCCTGAGTTTTCTAGTACAGACTTGTAGACATCAAGAAGAAATTTTGGTGCAGAACTTCCTAAAGTTTTTGAATTTGCAACTGGCCTTGGTCTATTTTCTAAACCTAAGAGGTTAAGGATTTCATGCTCCACTTCTCTTTTTTCTTGTTTAGTCATAAATCGTTGGACAATAGTCTGATCAACTCCATTGTCTATGTACAATCCTGACTTTCTACAGCTACATAATAGTAAAAGATAATGAAAGCATAGTTGAAAAACAATAACTCGCAGCATGATGTTGTCGAACATGTAACAACCTGTTGCAACCACTTATTTACGATAAAAATTAAAATTTTAAGATTAGTTTCGTAGCTGAGTAACACCTTCTTGATTTTTAGATCACTATGCCTACTCTTCTTGTAATGTTGATCACAAATTGCAACTTCAAACTAGGCGTTTTGTTTATGCTGTGCCCGAGGCAAGATAAATAAACTGTAACTAACTACGTAACCACTAACCAGACAAGCACAAGCAGTATGCAAAGCATCACAAACAAACTAAAGTTGTTTATTTTATTTTCTATCTTCTTCCAGTCCCAGTCCTGAGTCCGGACCCAGTCAGTCTGAACATAATAGACTAGACAGGCAAGGAAGAATTTGAGGAGGCTCTAAATGTCTAAAAAATTATCAATTCATTTTGATTAGTAAATTTATTATTAAATAGATTAGGAAATTATTCAATGAAATATTCAATTTTCATATCTGAGTCTTAAACAGCACATATTTTAAGTTTCTGCCTTATTTATCCTCGTGGCCAGGTAGGCTACCGGGTATTGTATTCACAATTTTAATAGGGCCTAAGTTTAACTAATTCAATTGATAAAAATAAAATAAAAAACTAATATAAGTTTGATAATCAGTTTAAGGGTGCATGCACTATAGCTAGCTTTTTCATTCAGGGAGAAAGCATTGTATGCCGTGAGCTGTGACTGCACTTGGGAGACCATCATCCGAGGGAAACCTTTGATGATGTACACGAGCTGCCTGGTGGCAAAGTGCGGTGCACGGCTTCAAAGTTTGAAACGATAGATAAGAATGTACCGTATGCCTATGTTACGCATAGCTGAGTTTTCAAATTAGGTGGTAGAGCCTAGTTTATGCATGTATTCTTTATTTTAGTTGATTGTTCTTAATGCTTAAGAAATTTATGTATATATGTGAAATTCCTCTATCTTGTTTACAGAAGGATATGGAGAATCCTGGCGGGAATGCCTTATGACTGTTCGTTAATTGTTTGCCTAGACCTGCAATTTTTTACTAGGAAGATATGTCACTCAAAACAAATTTCTAAGAATATATTACGATTAAATAATTTCTTCGGAAAAGCATTTGAGATTAAAGAGGTGCTCTTCTGTCGTAGAGGTGATAACGACCACATAAGGTAGTGTTATGTTGTAGGCTAGGTTATTTTTTACATAAACAATAATCTAACCTAACGTTAATTTATTTACCTACCTTGTTACCTGGCTACTCCCACCCTTTACCCAATCTTGTATTTTGTAATTTTTTTGGATGTTATACTAAATAACTTCTTGATCAGCTTTGTACGTGTTATTAAATTTATGGAAAGTAAATAAAAGTTACGTTTAATAACACTTAAAACATATATTTACCCTTATACTGTTAACTCACAAGATGGTAAATATACATAAAAGATGGATCGGCACTTACCGTACCATCTTTTATGTACAGTATATCTACCGTCTTGTGAGTTAACAGTATAAGTGTAAATATAGCCTATGTTATAAGTGTTATTAGATGTATCTTTTATTTACTTTCCGTTTTTATACCCTCCCCTCACCCCAATATTACTTTTTCTGACACTCTTTTATCCCTACATGTCTCTTTTATCTTTTACTTAGAAATACGCTTAAAAGTGACATAGACAATAGACAAATATCTTTATTATTATTTCCTTCAAGAAATACAATAGGCCCTAGCGACCTGATTGTTTATATCTCCAATTAGTGAGGCAGACCTATTTTGAGTGCTTTGTTTGCATGGTTTTCCTTAGGCTAAGTTGTATATATTGACGATGCCCACTGCATTTGTACAATGCCTAAAAGAAAAGAAAACCCCATTTTATTACCTCTTGCTTCACAAATATTTTCTGGTCTTCTATCTTTATAAAAAAATAATTTTATATGTTTCAAAGGAAAAAATTGCAAAGGATAAAGTCTAGGTAAACAATTACTGACTGTTCTTAATGCTTAAGAAAGAATTTGTTTGTAAAATTTCTCTTGTTCACAGAAAAAGGCTGCGGAAAATCATGACCAAATCCTGATACGCTGTGACCGCCCTCCCCAGCCATCTTAGAGGGAGGGGGGAGGTGTGTTTAGTGGGTAGTCTGTTCTGTTAGTCCCACACTACCCTTGCAGGAGCAAGGGTGTGCGTAAATGCATTCACACCTTCCTACCAAAAAAAAAAAAAAAAAAAAAATGTATAGGGCCTATATATTTAATTAAAATATTTATTACTAGTCACAGTTAATTCAATTGTGGATTGTAAAGAGTGACGATAAATTAATAATTTAACTACCTTAATTAATGGGAGTAACAATTAACAATTAACTATTAAAATAGGCCTACTCTTCAAGAAAACCTCCCCCCGCCAACCAAGCAAAACCCTGCCGACTAAGCGAATTTCCATTTGTCTAGATTGATTTTCAATCAAATCTATAACATTAGGTTTGAGTACTTAGGTTTGATGCTACAAGGAAACTAATAAAGTGTGTTTTTTAGTAAAATATTAATAGTGTGGTGCCACTACACTTAGCTTAGTATAAAATAAAAAAGAAATTGCCAAGTTTGATTAAAATATGTCCATAAACAAGCAAACAACAGTTTAAAATATTCTCCATAAGAATCACATGGGAATATGAAGTTTACAATTTTTTGAATGATATCCGTTACCATTAACCGTACAAAAAAACTTTGATATGTGTAGGCTACTAAGTAAATTATTTATTTTTTTAAGCTCTTTAAAAGGGTCTAGAGAGAAATTGGAAATTTTTATTTTGTGGGTCAAAAATCAGAAAAACTTTTATCCCATAAAAGCCCGTTCCCATGATCCGATCATGCTGGTTAGTAAACTCATTTAAGTTTATCCCACCTTTACAACTTCAAACCGAAATGTCATCAAAATTGGTGTTTTTGGCCTCTGGGGACATCAAAATGAAAAAGGAAATCGGTCCCGGGTCTAGGTCTTACCGTGCCACCTACATAGCTAACTTACTCCCCTATTGGGAAATTCGCCTAAAACACTGTGATGTAAACATAATTTCTAGCATAAAACATTTTACATATTCATAGATCTATTTACTATTTTTATTTTCCCCAATAAAAATAACCATTTTCGTAGTTACATTGTCCAAGTTGAATTTATTATTTAATCACGTAGGCCTAGGTGTAGACGTACTTCAAATTGGTACAGCTGCTGCTGTCGCTGTCAACTGTAACCACAACTTAAATTCATGGAATAATAACAGTTACAGCGGATAGCTGTGAGAAGCTAATACACATAGGAAGTAACAGTTACCTCGGAAAGTGCTCCAAGAGCTCTGTGGAGGCGGAGGTGCTCGTGGGTACAGAACGTCGAGTCAAATTTACCGGTACAGTAACACTGTACTGTACTCACTATAACACTTTTAAATCGACTGGGTCCGTGGGTCGCATTCCGGACAGGCTCACGGGATGCATCCACGACGTCTTATTGATGGTCCGTAGATCCTTGACGTCATAAGTATACTTAATTATAAAATTAATTTTATAATTTTGTATTATAAAATTAAACTGTCGTAACCCATAGGCCGCGGCCTTCGAAGTGGCAACGTCTCAAGTAGGGTTGGGTTGTAACAGCTGTTTTTTTTAAGAAGCTAATGGTATTTACCAAGACTGATACTGATGACTGATAGGAGGACTGACTGGAGGAGAAGGAGGACTCCTGGAGGAGTGAGGACTGAGGAGAAGAGAAGACGAAGAGAAGACAGAAGACAGACAGAAGACAGAAAAGAGCTACAGCTACAGCCACCAGCCACTGAGCTATAATTTAGCTCACTGGCTACAGCTACAGCACAGCTGCTACTCTTTCTCTAAAGAATCTACTTTTAGCAGCAGCAAAGAGCAAGTCTCTTTCTCTTTATCAGTCTTTTGTTTTGGCCGGTGAGTGAGTAACACAATTTGAACTGGGCTATGCTTATGATTGAAACCATCAAATTGAAAATATTGATTAATAATAGATGAGTGAACGAAGTGAACGAATCTATGTATCGTGTATAGCGGAGTCGGAGAAAAGTTGTCCGCTGGAGTATGTGTGTGTGTGTGTTCGCACCTAAAACTCAAGAGCCGTTGCACTTATAGCGTTCAAATTTTGCACAAATAGTTATGACACCAGTGTAAAGACACCATTAAAATTCTAGACGATTCCGCTCAGTAGTAATTATAAAATACTTAAAAAACATTTTTAAATTTGTCCCATAAGAATAACATTAGGAGCGACCTTCTTCTTCTTTTTATTTGTTTACGTTTTGCGACCAACAATTTTGTTGTCTACTTAAGACAGAGAGAACGACTTTTACTCTGAGCTCTTTCATTCATGGAGTAAACAGTTTGGCGTCTATGAATATATATATCATTATAATTTCACAGCTTTCAGAATAATGTTATTTAAGCTAATTAAATCTCACAGCTTTCATAATAATAAATCGAACTTAACAATATTAGTCGGCAGTTATATACCGTTTATGTTCAGTATTAAAACTTCGCCTTTTAATTAAAAGTACATAGGTATGTATGTATTTAGAACAAAGCAGCTTTTTACATTATTCAATTTAATGTTGGCATTGAATATTAAGGTATTTGTTTACTTTAGGGGCTTCTAACGAATTTTGAAAAAAATGTTATTTTCTCATTAATTGGCCTATTTTGAACACTTTTTACATTTGGCACTTTTGGGGCAAACGCCTATTTCACCCTAAAAATCGCGTTTGAAAATTGCAAAAAGCGCTAAAAATTTGAGTGGTACTTTTACTCTTAATGTGTTTTTACTATTACTCAGGACCTACAGAACTGAATATAATCCAACCTAACTTTATCTAATCTAATCTAACCTAACCTAACCTAACTTAACCTAACCTAACCCAACCCTACCTAACCAATGCTTAGATTAGCAATATGCCGAAAATAGCGGATTATTAGTTAAACCAAGGTTAGGTTAGGTTAGGTTAGGTTAGTTCAGGTTAGGTAAGGTATGGCTAGTTATTAAGTTATTATTTAATTTAATTAGCCTAAAATCATCTGAACATTTGAAATCTAACCTAACCTAACCTAACTTAACCTTACGTTTAAACTAACCTAACTATATTTAAACTAACCTAACCTAACCTAACTTAACCTAATCTAACTTAACCTAACCTAACCCAACCCTACCTAACCAATGCTTAGGTTAATAATATGCCGAAAATATCGGATTTTTAGTTAAACCAAGGTTAGGTTATAATAAACATAACATCTGCTTATTACTACAATAATAAAAACACATTTAAAGAAAGGCAAGGGGGGGGCAAACCTGATTTTCAAAGTAAAAATGGCAATTATTGCTGAAAAACTTTCGCGATTGTCAAACGCGATTTTCAGGGTGAAATATGCGTTTGCCCCAAAAGTGCCAAATGTAAAGAGTGTTCAAAATAGGCCAAATAATGAGAAAAAAACATTTTTTTCAAAATTCGTTAGAAGCCCCTAAAGTAAACAAATACCAATATTAAATATTCAAAAATGTTGGTTAAATGCTATGCGAAGGGGGGGGGGAACAGGTCCCCGACGTAGAGAGTAGTAAAGAAAGCGGAAAGGTGAGCAGTGAAAAGAAAGGAGTACGGAAACCCTTTATGACTGTTAAATTAACGTATCTGTAATACTTAAATGCTATGGAAAGATAGGGAAACATGTCTACGATGTAGGAAGTAGTGATGGAAATAGTGAAGGAAGTAGTCAAGGTGAGCGCTGCGGAGTGTGGGGGGCCTTTATGACAGATAGAATAATGTATCTGCAATTCTAAAAATGCTATGGGAAGGGAGAGAAACAGGTCCACGATGTAGGAAGTGGTGAAGGAAGTAGTCAAAGTGAGCAGTCCGGAGTGTGGGAAGCCTTTGTGACAATTAGAATAATGTATCTGCAATTCTAAAAATGCTATGGGAAGGGAGGGAAACAGGTCCACGACACATAGGAAGTGGTGAAGGAAGTAGTCAAGGCGAGCAGTCTGGAGTGTAGAAACCCTTTGTGGCAGTTAGATTAATATAACTGCAATTCTAAATTCCAATAGGAAGGGAAGGAAACAGGTCCACGACGTCGGAAGCGGTGATGGAAGTAGTCAAGGCGAGCAGTCCGGAGTGTAGAAACCCTTTGTGACAGTTAGATTAATATACCTGCAATACTAAAATGCTATAGGAAAGGAGGGAAACAGGTCCACGACGTAGGAAGTGGTAATGGAAGTAGTCGAGGCGAGCATTCTGGAGTGAAGAAACCCTTTGTGGCTGTTAGATTAATGTAACTGCAATTCTAAAATGCTATGGGAAGAGAGGGAAACAGGTCCATGACGTAGGAAGCGGTTATGGAAGTAGTCAAGGCGAGCAGTCCGGAGTGTAGAGACCCTTTGTGACAGTTAGATTAATATACCTGCAATACTAAAATGCTATAGGAAGGGAGGGAAACAGGTCCACGACGTAGGAAGTGGTAATGGAAGTAGTCGAGGTGAGCATACTGGAGTGTAGAAACCCTTTGTGACAGTAAGATTAGTGTAACTGCAATTCGAAAATGCTATGGAAAGGGAGGGAAACAGGTTCATGACGTAGGAAGCGGTGATGGAAGTAGTCAAGGCGAGCAGTCCGGAGTGTAGAAACCCTTTGTGACAGTTAGATTAATATACCTGCAATACTAAAATGCTATAGGAAGGGAGGGAAACAGGTCCACGACGTAGGAAGTGGTGAAGTAAGTAGTCGAGGCGAGCAGTCCGGAGTGTAGAAACCCTTTGGCAGTTAGATTAATATACCTGCAATACTAAAATGCTATAGGATGGGAGGGAAACAGGTCCACGACGTAGGAAGTGGTGAAGGAAGTAGTCAATGTGAGCAGTCCGGAGTGTCGGAAGCCTTTGTGACAATTAGAATAATGTATCTGCAATTCTAAAAATGCTATGGGAAGGGAGGGAAACAGGTTCACGACACTTAGGAAGTAGTGAAGGAAGTAGTCAACGCGAGCATTCCGGAGTGTGGGAACCCTTTGTGGCAGATAGATTAATGTATCTGCCATAATGAAATGCTATAGGAAGGAAGAGAAACAGGTCCACGACGTAGGAAGCGGTAAAGGAAGTAGTCAAGGTGAGCAGTCCGGAGTGTAGAAACCCTTTGTGGCAGTTAGATTAATATACCTGCAATACTAAAATGCTACAGGAAGGGAAGGAAACAGGTCCACGACGTAGGAAGCGGTGATGGAAGTAGTTAAGGCGAGCAGTCCGGAGTGTAGAAACCCTTTGTGACAGTTAGATTAATATACCTGCAATACTAAAATGCTATAGGAAGGGAGGGAAACAGGTCCACGACGTAGGAAGTGGTAATGGAAGTAGTCGAGGCAAGCATTCTGGAGTGTAGAAACCCTTTGTGAAAGTTAGATTAGTGTAACTGCAATTCTAAAATGCTATCGGAAGGGAGGGAAACAGGTCCACGACGAAGGAAGCGGTGATGGAAGTAGTCAAGGCGAGCAGTCCGGAGAGTAGAAACCCTTTGTGACAGTTAGATTAATATACCTTCAATACTAAAATGCTATAGGAAGGGAGGGAAACAGGTCCACGACGTAGGAAGTGGTAATGGAAATAGTCGAGGCGAGCATTCTGGAGTGTAAAAACCCTTTGTGATAGTTAGATTAATGTAACTGCAATTCTAAAATGCTATGGGAAGGGAGGGAAACAGGTCCACGACGTAGGAAGCGGTGATGGATGTAGTCAAGGTGAGCAGTCCGGAGTGTGGGAACCCTTTGTGAAAGTTAAATTAATATATTTGAAATTCTAAAATGCTCTAGGAAGGGAGTGAAACAGGTCCACGACGTAGGAAGTGGTAAAGGATGTAGTCAAGGTGAACAGTCCGGAGTGTGGGAACCCTTTGTGAAAGTTAAATTAATCTATTTGAAATTCTGAAATGCTATAGGAAGGTAGGGAAACAGGTCTACGACGTAGGAAGTTGTGAAGGATATAGTCAAAGCGAGCATTCCGGAGTGTAGAAACCCTTTGTGATAATTAGAATAATGTACAGTATCTGCAATTCTAAAAATGCTATGGGAAGGGAGGGAAACAGGTCCACGACGTAGGAAGTGGTGAAGGGAGTAGTCATGGTGAGGAGTCCGGAGTGTGGGAACCCTTTGTGACAGTTAGATTAATGTATCTGCAATAATAAAATGCTATGAGAAGAGAGGGAATCAGGTCCACGACGTAGGAAGTGGTAATGGAAGTAGTCAAGGTGAACAGTCCAGAGTGTGGGAACTCTTTGTGACAGTTAGATTAACGTATCTGCAATAATAAAATGCTATGAGAGGAGAGGGAAACAGGAAATACATTACGTATATTACCAATGACTTTGGTTAATTAATGGACGAGAAGTTAGGATTGTTGTTGACTGAGATTTGGTTTTTTTTAAGAGGTTGGTCCAGCCTCTTTTAACCTCGCCCGTGCGTGGATCGTTTACAGCAAAGCAATTGGTGAGCCGGTACAGTACAAAGGTGAACTGTACTAATAAAATTTAGTGGCAGTGACCAGGATCCGAACTCACGACATCGCTGCCTTGGGCCCGAAGTTCGCGTGACGCTACCGACTTGAGTCACCGACTCACCATTATTTGCCCCGACTCATCGGTTGAATTGCCCATACAAATAACATTATTGTGTACACCAGTGACAGCAGTAAGTGTGCTAGGTGTGGGTAAACTCTTTCATTATTGCGCTCATGTTCACTCATCCTGTTACGCGCAGAATAAGCGTACTACTAGTATATATATATATTTAATATAGGCTATCCAGGCGGCCGTGGGCTATCTCTATTAAATGAAACTGGCATAACCTAACCAAACTTGCTGTTGTTAATGAAAAAATCGCATGAAGGTAATCGAATCTAGCATAGCCCAGTTAAGAAACTGTACCCGCGTTTTTTAATCTGTGGTCAAAGTTGTCCTATGGGGTACAGTTTCTTAACTGGGCTATGCTAATGTCGATTGAAACTATCGATTCAATAAGTAAACCTTCATGCGATTTTTTCACCATCAGCAAGTTTGGTTGGTTAGGTTAGGTTATGATAGTTTGGTTTTTATTGCGACGAACGTGACCATGGGAACCTATATAGATTTATATATCACTAGAAACTAGATTTTTAGCTGAAAATAATGGTGCAAAAATGTTTCCGCGCTCTCAAATATTAACGGAGTTACGACTGTTTTATTTACCGGTACTTTGTTTTTTTGACCTAACCTATTTATAAGCCTATGAAATGTTCTCTCCAGATACTTGATATGTTACTTGATATATTGATATATTAATTGTAAGTAATTAAAGTAGAAGACTCACTTTTTACCAGGAAATAACAGTGCATAAATGTCTCCGAGGCCACGAATATTAACTAAGATAACTTAAGATAATTTGTCGTTTTGATTTCCTTTATCTACCTTCTATTCTAGTCTGCTACTGCTTGCCGCATTACGAAATTACGGAACGGACTAACTGTTACTTGTACAACTATACTGAACCTGAAATGAAAATGAAAATACGAAATTGAAGGGAAGAGAATAAAAAAAAGTCAATCAAGTCATTTAAATTACATGTGCTACAAACATCTAAGAAACAACACGGCACTGAATAAATTATTTCAGAATGATTTTATTAGCAAAATAAATTTAATTTTAAGTAAAATAAATTTGAAAATTTTAGTAAAATAAATTTAAATAATTTAATCATTCCCCCCGGTGTTTGCCCCCCCCCCCCAAGGATTTGGTGAAATGACGCCACTGTAAAAGTGCAAAATTACAATTTACCATTGTTTGAATTAAACAGCATTTAGGTTAGGCTAAAAAAATATGAACGGTCAAAATAAAATCACACAACTAACTTAGGTCTATCAAGTCCATAACACCTCATGCAAGTAAGTGTGTCCAGAAACTTATCTAGGCCTAACAAGAAAATTAAAAACATTAAATGGTTTTTGTTAATTTTTAAAGGTAAAGGTAATGTATTTCACAACCTGTGGGGCCTAATTAAAATAACAAACCACGAACAGTTATTGGATTGGAACCTAAGCAGATACGAACCAGCTGTGCAAAGCCGTCTTCTATTGGTTGATGCACAATCGTTTTTGATCGGTTGACCACTATTGTCTAACCTCCTTCTGTCACGTTTGTGATTTAGAGCCAGTTTCATCAGAACTATAAGAAGTGGTGTTCCTATCCTCTTACATTTGCTTCTCACACAATCTTGGCCATCTCTTTACGAGACGCTTGGCACTCAAGGTACAACAATGGTGCGCCTCGTAGCGAGATGTGACAGCACTCAAATGGTTAAATATTTTGTTTTCAAACCAACGTTTTTCAACAGAACATGGCTGAGCAGCAACAGAATTTTGCGAGTGATGTCCCAGCCGAAACATTTACACAATGTCCAGACTGTGGGAATGAAATTGAAAGATTGACGCCGCCGATTTCTGGTTATGACGGTTACTGGGTACATTGCATCAAAGAAGGAGGAGTAAGTAATGAATCGTTTCAAATGTTTTAATTTGTATTTAAACTTGAAAACAAGATAACTATTTTGATCTTACTAGGCTGTGAGGCTAAACTCGAAAGCTTGCAGGTTGATGATGACAATTACTGGATGAACAATGGTGAATAACATAACTTACCAGTTTATATTTTACACTAATATGTACCTGGATGTTGTATTTGACAGAAATCTCAATAATAACATGTATTTGAATACAATGACACACTTTAATACTCAGAGTATGTACAGTTTTTAGTAAATATAGTATATTACATCACTGGTCTATAAAATATGTGTTTATCGGGTGATAGAGTATGGTTGTTCCCATGCAAGACCAAGTCGTGTGTGGGATTATTAAAAAAGTACGGTAAAAATATTTTGGAACGCTTGGTGTTGTACACGAATGTTAGAAAAATACTGGTATGGGTCATAAACATAAACAAATGACGTTTTTGGCCCAAATCCTATTTTAGCATTGAACATATGTTTTGGCAGTTCCATTTTTAAAAGCAATGTTAAAAAATGTTTTTTTTTCGGGCCAAAAACTCCATTTGTTTATGTTTATGATGCATACCGGTATTTTTCAAGTTTTCCTGATGACGTACAATATTTTTAGCCTTACCGTACTACACTTGACTATGATAAAAACTGTACCCAAATCCGTAAAAAAATATATACCCACTAACTAATGGACTTAACGATCACACTACTCATAACTTCTAAGAGAGGTTATGTTTTCATTTACAACCGCTTGTTGCCAATTCTAATCAGCTGGTGCCGATGAAAATTCATTACAGTACTATAGAATGTAGTGAAATCCCATTTGATTAAACAGGTGGCAAACAGCTGTTTTCCAGACTAAACCCTTGTGCGGAAAGGCCATTAAAACAGTGTAGTGTGGCAAAAAATATTTACAAGACACAAACTACCGTGAATTACTTTAATGGAAAATAATCTGTAACAATTTTTTTGTTTGTTTTTGAACAGAGATCCATTCCTTTTTGATCCTACTTTCATGTTACATAATAACACAAATTTGTCTGCAATCACAGCGTTTTAGGGTTGTAGTTTTAGTTCTCTGTATTACCCTGTATTTAACTAAAGGTTCCTGTATTAGGTAAATGTACCCACTTTTAAATAAAAACCATTTATCACGGTGTACTGGTTACCAGCTTCTCACTTTTGGGTTTACACTTTCAGACTTCCTTGAATTTTGCACAACTTTCAAGGTGCAGAAAATATCATCACAGCTTTTACCCAGGATCTTATGTGATGAACAAAACTGTAATAGGCCTATACTTAAAATAGTAGTATATAGATTTTTTTTATGTTTCAGTGTGGCTATCTAGAAAGATTTCCGGGTAGAGCAATTGTTTCTGTAAGAGACCTCATTATTCATGGATTCCCAGGTTTGTTTAAAATATTGTAGTAACGTAATTCCCTTTCTAGTCCAGTGTCTCTCTAGTCTCTCTAGAGCAGGAAACCTCACTAGGATTTCTCAGAGAGCCAATTGGTTTGCATTAAATTACCCTCAGGGCCGCAAGCAGTGGCAGCTCGTGATCGCTTTTGTGTAAGGGGGAGGGGGGGGAGTTCTGTTGTAAGATTAAGTGCAATATTTGCCGATAAGTCCTGTGAACGTCCGATGCACGTTGAGTCAGACAGCTGAAGTTTTTAAACTTCCATCTATTACCTATTTGCTTACAATTATAAAATTGTGAAAACAAAGTTTTACAGAAGGTGACAACACAATCTTTTTAAAATTTATGCATCAGAAAACAACTTCATCTTTTGTGCTAAAATTTCTGTCACTTGGTAGGACACTTTGATTAGCTCATTCTTGCTCATTACATTAAAAAGGATGCCTTGTTCACAAGTAAAATAGGTAATTATTGCATTTTCTCATCTCAAATCTTAGATTTTGTTGGGAATTCATCTTCAAATTGCAAATGGATTGAAGGGTAAATGTCTTTTCATATTTTAACGTTTATTTGTATTCACCGTTTCACGACATGTCAAACATAAGGCAGTCCCTTCTTTCTTTAGCCTACTTCTTATAAAAAGGAATTCTTCCTCCCACTCAGACTAAAGCTCACGGTTTTCATCGTCCAGTTTTCGTTTCCGTCCTTTTGAGTACCTACACACCAGCCATATTTAATTAAAAAATAAATCACTGAACTAGGTGTTACATTCTTAAAATAATGTGTTTGATTGATGAAGGTTAACCGCACTTAAATCCCATTAAACTAGGCATCACTTGTTCAGGTTATGTTCTAAACTTTCTGCTCTGTTAGCTATCGCTACCCTTCCAACTTCACTGCAGTAGTCTGAGTAATCAAAAAAAAAAAATTTGAAAAATATCATCATAATTTCATTGTACTTAATTAGAAAATATAAGAAATAACTGATCTATGAAGTATTTTACAACTTTCTCAAAAAATATTTTTCATGACTAAAATTTTGTTTGAATTCTTAACAGTTTGAGGGCCGCAAAAATTATGCCGCCTGCGGCCTGCCTAGTGAAGATCCCTGCTCTAGAGCTTCAATTTGCAGTAGTATCATTAAAGTTGTGGTAACATGTTTTTGTTTTTTTACTTTGGAGATAACTTTGGTACGTCTCTAGAGGCCTGTAAAAATACAAAGCTATAACTTAATGCGACTTTTTTGGGGCGAATTTGTCCTATACCAATTAGCCTCATAGTTAGTAGGTCTCATGGTTAGACCTAAACCAGGGACTGATTTAATTTGATGTTTCGATATCCCCAAAGGGGGAAAAAACATTCAAATTCAAATACGAGGGTTGTCCGTAAACTAAGTCTCCATTGAGCTCTCATTGTAGCCTAACATGTTGGATCCAATCTAAGACCAACCTCATGTTCGTTACTTCATTCACCACTATTCCAGCAGATTCCCGCCCTAGTGAGATAATTAAGTCTCGTCATAGTATTCAAAAACTATGTAAACGCATTCTCTGATTGGATTCGGTGGTCTCAGTTGTCCACAGATATTTAAGGCTATTGCCAGTTGATGGAGTAAATGTGTGTAATGACTAATGAGTGGTGGAGAGGTTGGAGGTGCTATTAAACATTTGCACAATGTTTGGCTTGGTGTTGTCCAATTTGGGTACTTCATCAGTCACCATCATAGTCGTTTATTCAGCCATTAATTACATCATAGTACAATAGGCTATGGCAATATCAAACTCGCAAAGTTTGACCTTTCAGAGAAAACAAAAACAAATTCACATTGAAGTAATAATTGAACATATAAATATAAAAATAACATTATTTTTTTAACTGAACCATTGCAACAGGTTAATAGGCCAAACCGATGGTGGGCATGAAAACGTAGCTGATTTTTAAGTATAGCTGGAAAAGTCAAATCTCCCGAAATTCTTTAGGGCCTGTGATAATTTCTAATTCTTTTGGAAACTGCATGATTGGACTATGGGAATGGATTTTACATGCTTTCCCCATATACCCTCATAATGTAAATTTTTTTAAACCAATTTGTATATCTAAAAAAAAACAAGCAATATAGTAAATAAAAGCGTACGTTAGGAGAAACCTTAAAAAAATTATTGTTTCAAATTCCCATGTTAAATTAAATGTCAAATTCTTTGGGAGATTCGGTAAACTATTGTAGTTAGGTTTTTTATTGATTTATTTTGGATTTTGATGTGATTGGGTAAATTTATTTACTTCATACTGTGATAACATTTCACTTCAAATACTTTATCACCATCTTTGTAGTAGCAACCCTAAGTAATTTTTAAACCTAATGCTATTTTAATAGGGAATACATTTTCAATGTTTATAAAAATGATTTTGGGATCCAATCAAGCAAATGGAAATAAACTTAGTCTGTATGTTTGCTGCAGTGGGGGTATTTTATATTTAAATAGCCAGCACCTTTAAAACATAAGATAGCATGGTGTTTAAATAAAGAATTGTGAATGTATAGTGGACGGGATTGTTTTTTAAACACCTGTGCTTACACCTCCAGTAGCAAGAATGGAATTAGTCTGGACACTATTTTAATCCACCTTATGTTAAACTTAGTCTGAAGTAATGGATGAATACCAACTTTTTTATTTTTACCATCTTTTTCAGCGAAGCTGTTACACCACGTGAACATTTATAGAGGAGACATGGAAAAACTCATGAGAATAAGTATTTCAGAATATTTTAAAACAAATTATTCATCATATAAAGAGTCTGATATAGAACATTTAAAATGTATAGTTGGCGAATTTGCAAAATCTCATGGGGTCAAGATCAATTTTGATTATGACATTAATAATATGGCCCAAACCGTACGTAAAGATGCTATTGTTAAGAAACTGGCTGCTTCTATGGTTGAAGATATACCAGTGGATTATCAAGAAAAAATAAAGTCAGCATTTTCCAAGATTCAGGAATACGATTTTCCAAATCATTTTGTTGATAATTTGTTGTCTAAGCAACTTCCATTGTTTGCTTTGCTAGAGGAGCAGGAAAAGGAGATGAGAAAGCAAGAAGCAGAGTTGAGAGAGGAGTTAAAGAAAAAAAAGAAAAAAAAAGAAAAAGAAAAAAAGAATAAAAAGCAAGGATTTGATGAAATTGCGGAAATGTTTCGCTGAATGGAATTGACGATTTACCCAAGTAATAATAATTAATAAACCTCTTGATAGAAGATACTTTGTACTTTTACTTTGTACTTATTACTTAATAAATTGACATCCTTTGTTTAGAAGATTCTTTTCATTCGTTATTTTCTCTCCAAATTGAGACAAAGTTCACAAAACGATTAGCTATAGGCTTAGTTATCCCTTTGAGTGCTAGGCCTATAACTCTTATTTTGTAAGACTTTTTTGTTTGCCTTTTAATTTCATTATCTGTTGTTGAATTGTAACTTTATTGTTTTCACTATTTTATTAATCTGGCTAATTTGGAATAATAAGACAATAACAGATATATAACAAAGAAAAGTCTTGGTATTTGCAGTAAACATTAAATAAAATTGAGTTTTCATTGTAAATTTCCAAGTTTTCTTATAAATTGTAATGTTCTGATAGCATATTTTGAAACCAAAATCGAAAGACATCTAGTATACAATGTAATATTGAATATAACCTTGATTAGTTTGATAAGGTTACTATAATATAGCCTTTTAGGAAAACCTGTATTGCAGTAAAGCCTCAGTAACACCATTTATGAATATGATCACTGTTTTGGTTCAGCTGAAAAATGTCATCTAAATAGTATGTGACTAACTAGTTTGCTACCTAGTAAAGCATTGAACAACTTGCTGTAGCGCTATCTGTTAGCAATCGTTGGCGTCAGCTTGAATACCGTTTTTACTTCTCAGTCTCCAACCACAGATAGTAGTGTTGGGACATATTACCAGTAACATCGATATTAGTATCTATAGTCATATCGGCCGTTAAACATCGATGTAAAAAAAATATCAAAAAGTCTAAATATCGGAGAAAAAAATTTATATTTAGTAAAAAAATCAACCAAATAAATGAAAAATATATATGCTAAATAAATTAAATATCTCTTTATTTCACCAACATTTTGTGAGTTACAGGAAAATCTAAATAGGTAGGCCCTTAACCAAAAAAGATTGCCTCCCAATGTTTTCTTTTCTTTGTACTTATCCAAAAAGGGCCACTTTCCCCAAATCTAGATTAACTCTGACGATCGTGGTTTAGACCATTATATTTTAACCTCAGATTTAAAACTCAAACTTAAACTAGAGAAATAATTACTTCCGATGCACCGATGGCCGTGACAAGTGAAAGTAAAAAATAAATATCTGAGTAAAAGGTAAAATATACTAATATATACGTTATTATTGTTAAAAATGACTGAAAATTAATTTTTCAGATTCATATTTAATACAAAACTGAAAAATGAGGCTGTAGTTAACAATAATTTGTCACACTATATAGGTATAATTAAATGTAAACGTAATATAGTATGAAGCTAACATATGCGAATGCGACTACTACTGGGGGAGGGTTTCCCACGACCACGTTTGCTCCGGGCGCCGACAACCCTAGGGACAGCCACAGCCCTGAGTAAATTTAAAACTAGCATTTAAATTAAATGAGCTTGAGTTGCATTCTTAAATCAGTTGCAATGTTAAATTGATAAAACTACTTCTTAAGAAAAGGAGAAAACTGTTGGTAAAGCTAGAAAAAAAACTGATTTCTCAGTTTTTATTTGTCCAAACTAAGATTGTAAGATATTGTTGGAATATGAATAAAATTTAAAACAGTTCTTTGGTATAGTTACGGTTTTCGTGGAATTTGGCATACAATATTTAAAATAGCCGCCATTTTCAAACGGTTTAAGAGGTTTAATTCATACATTGCACAAAAATAGAAGCCAATAAGATAAACATTTTTGCAGAATTTCAATGCTGTGTGGCTCAAACCCGCAAGGATTAATGAATGTTTTAGTAAAAAACAAGACTGATAGACTGAAAACGGAATGAGGTAGGACACATTTTATACAACATTTTTGTTTCTTTTGAGATGCTGAATAAAATGTCAAAGTTTGTTCATATAGTTGCAAGACACCCTATCTAAGTTTTGCTTAGTTTATTCAAATTTATTTTTATTTTTTGGCTGATTGTTAGAATGACTTACATTTCCCAACTACATTTCATTACACGTTGAAGAGGACTAAGGTAAAAGGTAACATTCAAAGGTCACCTAATATACTTTACTACCGTACTATGTCTTACATTTGTATTTATTTGAATAGTTATTCTTGACGAGTATGTAATGGATGAAACGTTCTTGAAGGATAACTTGACAACGCCTATGGGCGAAACATATAGTGAGTTTGACCATATAGGCTACTCTATTGAAATGTGGATGTAAAGGTATGCGTCTTAATAGTCTATTTTTAACAACGTAAACAAAACAAAAACAAAATTTTCCAAATCCCCCTTTCCTTCGACCAAATCCCGACACTTAAAAAATTAAAAATTCCGAAAACATTATTGAAAAGTTTGTATTTGGAGGGACACTGTCATGATTGACTTTGAATATACTACAAGGAAGTATGTGTACTACATAATATCTTAAAACATACATGGGACTACTCCCCATAATGGGAGTCTGTTAAATCAATGCTTTCACTTTGGTGTTTGGATGTTGATGTTAATGTATATAGCTCATTAATTTGCACTTAATTTATTTAAATTTAAATTTTTATGAACATAAATTTATTAAAATATTGAAAATAATACATACAGAATTGAAAACCGAAACAATATGAATTAAAAAATAATATATCTGTACATTTTAAGCGAAGTAAATATTGTAATAGTCCAGTAACCAATCTTTCGTAATTACACAAATACGACCATTAGCTGCTTCCAAACAAACCAGCTGTTACAACACCACTTGCGACGGGGACAGCTAACTTAGGCTACTCTCCAGGATCATAGTCTTTACGAGCTTTGTAAATAATATTTATAAATAGTATAAATAATAGAAGGTTCACTTGTACTACATCGAAAATATAAAATAAATGAAGAGGGTTCACTTACTCTACAGATCATAGTGACTATGAGCCACGAGTCTGCGGTAAAATCGTAAAATATTAGATGGCTCACTTACACTACAGCTCATTTAGCTACTCGTTGCGCGGTTTGCATTCGTGAAACTCTAGGCGCTATGCAAGGCTTCGACTGCCTACATAAGTGTATTGCATCACCTTAATTATTTATCATCACGAAATAAATATGTAGGCCTATGCGCAAGCAAATTTATTACATTTTTGGACTGAATACTTTTTCAAATGGAGGGAGTGTGCGCTGCAAACTGCGTGACGTGTAGCTAAATAAACTGTAGCGTATGTGAGCCGTCTTTATTCCTGAATTAAAAAATAAATCATACGCTTGGCTCATAGGCACTATAATCTTTAGAATAATTGAACCTTCAATATTATTTACGATACTCGTATATACTATGATCTATAGAGTAAGTGAGCCATGTGTTTTAAGAATTACATATTTGGAGGCTCATAGTGTCTATGATTTGTGGTGGTGGTGTTAAAGGCGGCCGTGCCGTGACTCACTTCAGCCCAAATCCTGTTGTGGGTTGAGTTGAGTGTTGACGATTGACCCAACTGTCAACCATTTAAAAAATAGGTCCCTTGGTTCAGAGTTCGGTATTTACTCAAAGGAGGTACAGAAGAGCCTTCGATGACGTCAGCTGTCATATCTCCTCTAGAGGGGACACCATTAACCGGAACGATACGGAATTCAGTCATTGGCCTCGGTGGTGTAGTGGATAGCGTGTCGGGCTGATAATCCGAAGGTGTCGGGATCGAATCCCGCTGGCAGTGCTAACTTTTTATCAACAATTTTTTTTCATAACAGCAAGTTTGGTTGGGTTATGACATTTTAATTTTATAATTATAAAATTGAATTATAAGCATTTATAATTTTATTTGATGAACAAAACTATTTTTTAGATTAGTAAACCTTCATTCGATTTTTTTCATTATCAGCACGTTTGGTTAGTTTGGTTCTGTTATGAGTTTAATTTAATATTAAAATTCATTGTGTAGCCCCTGAACTGTTGATTAGACTAAAATTTAAGGTACATACCTTCACGTCCACAGTTCATATATGTATGTTAAACCCACTACATGTTTCGCCTATACATAGGCATTGTCAAGTGGTCCTTCAAGAACGTTTCGTCCATTGTAGACTCGTCAAAAAACATTTAAATAACGTTTCGTCCAACGTTTCGTTTTGTGTATTTATTTAAATGTTTTTTGACGAGTCTACAATGGAAGAAACGTTCTTGAAGGACCACTTGACAATGCCTATGTATAGGCGAAACATGTAGTGGGTTTAACCATACATATATGAACTGTGGACGTGAAGGTATGTACCTTAATTTAATAGTTGAAAAATTTTAAGATTAATTTTATAATTTATCTTAATTTTATAATTAACTAGGCCTAATAGTGAAGTAAAAATTACGCGCTCTGCTCTCTACTATAACGCTGTTAACGGAGGAATTTTGAACTAAACTATGATGTCATCGTTGCCTCATTTATACCTCCCTTAAGTCAGAATGGTCAGACCCTTCAGAGTTCAGTTCAGTTCAGAGACAGACGTCAGACCATTGATTATAGCTCAGTGCGTCAGACTTCAGACAGACTGAGACGGACTGTCAAATGCTGTCAGTCTGAAGTCTGACTCAGACAGAAGGCAGAACGAGAACGACAGAACAGTCGAACTTCGAACAGTCGTTATCAAACCGAACTTCCTCACCCTCACCGCAGCACCGTACGGCAGCAGAAGGCAGAAGCAGAATTTAGCAGAAGCAGTGAAGCAGTCGAGTCAGTCAAAGATTATCAAGTTAGTCAGTCAGAACAGAACAGAATCATTGAATCAACCGTATCTTTTGCCTTTTTCTCCAGACGTTGCTGTAATTTGAAAGATAAAATAATATTAGGGTGGATGTAGAGTTTATGAGAAAACTAAGGTAAGATGAATTGTAACAGTGACTTAGCCTAGTTTGTATATGACTTAGGCCTTTATATTAGGCTAACTTAATTATATCCGTGTCCAATCTAGCTCGACTTCTCCAATCATTCACTTTTACCAAAGACTACCATCACTAAGGCCTAAGTACTTGTTCATAAAAATCATTATTCCCAAACAGGCTAGGGCCTCTGCCTAAAAGGGTAACTTTAGGCCCAAGCTGAATACAGTAGACTCCCTCTTATCCGGACACCTTTTAACCGGACTACACTCGGCAGAAATGGCATCTCTTTAACCGGAGAATTTTTATCAGCACATCGGTTTAACCGGACTAGATCGGCCGGAAGTGGGTGGTACAGTACTGAAACGACTGCTCTCGTGAGAAAGATTTGAGACCAGTGATCACGTGTCTAAATACAATGCTCTCCTAAATTTAAGTCAAATCCTTTCTACAGTAGGCCTATGCATTTAAACGGTCCGTTTTAACTAGTTTTCGGGGACGTCGGTTTAACCGGAAAAATCGTTATCCGGACTGACCTTGGTCCCGAGGAGTCCGGATAAGAGGGAGTCTACTGTAGTTTTATTCAAAACTTTGAAAAACTATGAATGCAATTTGTTGCCTACTAAGGCTGGTTTGTGGTAGGCCTATATAAGTTATCTGTATCAAGAGCAAACCTATCTTCCTTATTTACCATGACAGCATTAAACTTTTGAGCTTTTCATTTCAGTAGGCTGGGCCTAGTGAATCCGGTACTTGCAAACTCCCCATCAATGTAGGCAAATGTTATTTGGCCTTTAAGTTTTTCACTACAGTAGACTCCCTCTTATCCCGACGCCTTTTAACCGGATTACACTTGACGAAAATGACATCTCTTTAACTGGACAATTTTTATCAGCACATTGGTTTAATCGGACTAGATCGGCAGGAAGTGGGCGGTACTGAAACAACTGTTCTCGTGGGAAAGATTTGAGACCAGTGATCACATGTCTTATATACAATGCTCTCCTAAATTGAAGTCAAATATCACTGTAAACGATCCATTTTAACGAGTTTTTGGGGATGTTGGCTTAACCAGAAAAACCGTTATCCGGACTGGCCTCGGTCCCGAGGAGTCCGGATAAGAAGGAGTCTACGGTAGCCTATAGACATAGACTGACTTATGTCACATTTACAAACACAATATAACTAAAAGACATTAAAGCCTAAAAACTAAAAGACCTTAACATAACCTAATTTCGGTAGACAAGTTAAAAAAAAACAATATAACCTTCTTAACCTTCCATCGGGTGCATCACGGAAGTTACCTCTGGGTAGGTACTTTTTTTGTTATAAAAGCCATAGTATATGTTCGGCAGGGCTGTCGCTTGATTTACCACCTCTTTTGCAGAATTGGTTTTGTCTACTCTTACTCCTTTCCCGTTGTCTTTCCCAGTTTTCAGTCGACGTTGGGATGGCTTTTTAGTCACTAACTTACTAGAAGTAACTTCCGTGTGCTCCCTGTGATGTAACGGGTTTCCTGGAGCCTAGTTCCTTGTGCGCCTTTGTGTTTGACCTTATTTAGAGATATTATAAAATGGATGAAGAAGAACGAACTGCGAGATTGTTTGCTAGAGTTGAAAGGGAGGACAGGGAACAACATTTAGTGGAAAGTAGACCTAATGGTACGTTTGTCCAGGAACATTTTTTATCAAGAAAAAGAGCTTTGACAAAATGACTCCTTCTAACAGATGATTTTTTTCACTAGACAATAGGCGTTTTTATTTCAAACACTAATTGCAGTTTTTTCTAAAAGCTTTGACAATGTAAGTAAGTCCTTATGAAATGATCTTTTTTTGTAATACCATAAGTTAAGTGTTTTGATGTCATATACTGATGCAATTTTTGTCTAAGAGTTTTGATCGAACGTAAAAGTAAATTGATACCAGGCCTAGGTCTTTCCATGAATACTACATTAATTAGCTCATTTCCTATAATGGGAAATTTGCTTATATTCCCTACAGGTTCTATGGGAAATTTGTTAATATTCTCTAGAAATTCTCCAATAAAAACAAATTTAAGTTACAGTATAGTTGTTAATTTTATTGACTACCTATATATAAACTAAAATGTTTTCAACGTTGGGTAACATTAGGGCTCCCTTGAGGCCTACCCACAGTAGCTTGGGGTGAGATGTAGCTCAGGAATTAGTTGGGATTTTATTTTGTTATTAGCCCATAAAACAAAAAGAATGCAACTGACTGATTACAAATGAAAAGGAAGAGTTGACTGGAACAGAGTTAATATTTAAGTTTGATACAGAAATCCAACTTTTGAAAAAGACAACTTGTTTGAGGAAGGGGAAAAAACAGCTGATAGGCTATTTCATATTGATTTAACATGTTCCTTCCAACGAGTTTTTCTCCCTACATTTAAAGTTTTTTAAAACTCTCACTGATGGTGCACAATGCAGCGATCCTAGTTTTAGTTTTCTATAACACATGTTGAATTGTTGTGAAACCTATATCAACAGCTGTTTGATCTTCTCATTGCCTTCCAACCCTTCAAGTAGAAGTTGCTGTAACAAATTGGACCTGTCTAAACCTTCATTGGCACAACTCAATTGTGATCTTAGGTGAACAACAGAGACTTTGATTTCAATTTTGTCACTTAAGGGGTTTCTGACAAAAACATGTGCTTTTTGGGGTCAGCGTACAAAATACTTACTACCGGTAAAGACTGTTGAATAAAAAAATATGAGGAGTAGGTATCTTATATGTATACAATTACCAATCAGCATAAAGCCACCAATAGTGAGGAATTAAATTTTCCCTAAAAAAACCTATTAAGCTATTTACTGGCTTTAACTTGCTAAATACAAAACAAGATTAAGGTTTAGCTGGCTGGACCAAAAATCACTTATTTTAAAATTAAATCTTGTATTCTATTAGCTTCTGTTCTAACCAGCACAATATGTCAGAATTGTGTCCAAGCTCATCAAGCAATTTCGTAAAAAGCTTAATCAATCACTGATACCTCCATGACATTGTAGAAATAAGTGATTGTTAATATACTTTATGTGTTTTGTGTAATTTGTTACAGATTGTTTAAACTGTGGTGAAACGTAAATATGAAGGTTTAAATAAGTCGTCACACCTTTGGAGCCACTCAGTAATTAGGTAAGTCTTCATCGAGCATTTACATACAACTAGGCCGTACTCCTTGAAATCCCTTTCACCTCACAAATGCAAATACATCAGGAATAATAAAAAATAGTAATGATGACAGACATAAAAACAAGACATATAGTAAAAGGCGTCATGTCCACAAAATAGTTTGTCCAGAAGTGGTGGTGGACCCAGTTTCAAGAACACTATTGATAGCTTATCCATTGAAAAAAGCACTTTGCATGCTTTTAGTCCATTTGTAGATATGAAATCAAGTGTGAATAAATTTTCACGTAAGTAAAAATATCTCATCCTGCAAATGAAAAAGCAGTTCACTCAAACGCCTTGCTCTGGAATACTACTGCTACATACTTGTGTTTGTGTAATTGTTATGGCTCGTTTCACTAGCTTTGGTGATTGGGTGTGTCATCCATTAATTGTGTTATTATTAATGAAAATCAAAAACTACTTTGAAGTTCATTGTTGGTGAAGGAGGGGTCGAGGTGTTTGATGGATTATTGGTGACATTTTCCAACACAATTAGTATCAAATAAAGTTTTCACAACATTCTATGTGATTTTCCTTCTTTAGCTAGGTTTGTTTACTTATTATGTTATGTTTTAGTTGGGCCTACTATCTCACCTTAGGATTAAATCAGATTCCTGATCCTGAAACGTTGAGAAAACTTGTTTTATACTAATTATGATGGAAAGTGTTTATGTGTTAAGTGTTTATGTGTTCCCAGTTTCAAGAAAAAATGATTAATGGTGTTGGTTTACCTTATGATCGCCAAGGTTCTTGATGATTGTTTTTCTTTTATTTAGTATTTCATTAATTATGTTTTCAATAATTTGAGGATCGTACCCATTGTTGATGGCTATCAATTTTATTATTTGTTTTTCTTTGCTGTGTTCTGCTTGGCTGAGGTTGTCGTTTAGGTTTGAGTTAGCAGGAATCACAAAATCGGTTTGGGTTGGTTTTCTGTATATTCCTATTTCTACTGTACTGGTATTGTTTTTTGTTACTGTTACGTCCAGGAAATTAATAGAGCTGTTGGTTTCGTGGTCGATTTTGAATTTAATACTATTTGAGGTTGTTTGTTAATGCCATTTAGGACAACGAAAGTGTACTATTTGACTAAGAATTAAGTGAATGCACTGTTTTATGTCATAACTCAAACTCAACTAACTTTATTTACCTTTTTACAAACATAGAATAACAAATAAACATATGATAATAATTAATAGAAATTAACAGGTGTTATGAAATAAACTGTCTCACAACATCCTCCCTTTTAAGTTTGAAAGTTCTTCAACCAGCTTGGTTTTTGTATGTTTCTCTTTGGACGTTGTATGGTTCTGTTTGATGTGTATTCGCTGACAAATTTTGTTCACTGTTTTCCTCTCTTAAATAAGGGGCAAGTTTGAGGTGGAATCGATTTCTTCTCACATTCCTCTTATCAGTTTCAACAATATATGAACGAGGGCTGTCCAGGATTTTCACAATCTTGCCATGTCTTCTAAGGTCCACAATCCAAACTGGGTCTCCTATATGAAGATGATTGAGAGTTTGCACTTTGTGCCTTCTATCATAGTTGTGTTTGTACTTCTCACGATATCTTTCTTCTCTCCCTTGAAGATCCTTTAGATCTGATTTTCCACAAAGCAAATGTCCTGTCTGAGGCAATGTGCTCCGTAATCGCCTGTTCATAAGAAGCTGAGAGGGACTGAACCCATTCCAGAGGGGTGTCGTTCGATAGGCTAGAAGCGCTAAATAAGGGTCTTCCACATTTTTCTTTAGAATCATTTTGGCGATTTTCACTGCCGCTTCAGCCTCTCCATTGCTTTGGGAAAATTTTGGGCTACTTGTTACATGCTTGAAGCCATAAACTTTGGAAAATGTCTTGAAATCTGAATTTTCAAGGACTTGAAATTGAGACCCACAGTCAGACCTAATTTCTTCTGGAATGCCGTGTCGACAGAAAAAGGCTTTGCATCTCATTATTACTTCTCGTGATGTTAATGACTCTAATTCAGCTATCTCAAAATATCTGGAGTAATAATCTGTCACAGTCAAAAACCAAACGCCTTCAAGTTTGAACAAATCCATCGCAAGTGTTTTCCATGGCCTGTCAGGGAATTGTGTGGGAAGCAATGGTTCATGACTGTTCCTTGAATGTTTAATACAAGTAGGGCATGATTTCACCATACTTTCAATGGCTGAAGAAATTCCTGGCCACCAGACTGACTCTTTTGCACGTAAACGACACTTGGTGATTCCAAAGTGACCTTCATGTACTCTTTGAAGTGCCCAAGACTGCAGAGCTGGCGGAATTACAAGTCTTGAACCTCGTAGTATCATCTCATTATCAACACTTAGCTCATCCTTAACTGAATTGTACGGTTTTAGGTCATCTCGCAATGATGTCTTAGAAGGCCAACCTTGGATGATTATTTTTTTCAGTTCACGTAAAGTCGGATCTTTATTTTGTTCCTCCAATACTTTAGCAACTATGCAGTCGTTTATATCAATGGATGACAAAACCATTTGAACAAACGCTTGAGTTTCTTCTTCTAACTCACGGTCATCAGTACCTGAAAATGGGAGAGGTGCTCTTGAAAGAGCATCAGGAACTAGAAGCTGCTTTCCAGGAATATAAGTAATTGAAAAATCATATCTCATGAGACGCAATCGAATTCTTTGAATTCTTGGAGACAATTCATCAAGATGTTTGGACTTCAAAATTTGAAGCAGTGGTTTGTGATCTGTTTGTATTGTTATTCTCTTGCCAATAATAAATTCTTGAAACTTTTCACATGCCCAAGCAACAGCTGTAGCCTCCCTCTCGATGTTTGCATAGTTTTTTTCAGAAGGAAGAAGGCTTCGGGATGCAAATGATACTGGTCGTATAGAACCATCATCTTGAACTTGAGAAAGAGTTGATCCTAGTCCTTGAAGCGAGGCATCACATGAGATAATTGTTTCCCGATTTACATCGTAAATAGCTAGGCAAGGAGAGTTGGTCAAAATGAGTTTTATTTCATCAAATGCCTTCGCCTGCTCTGGACCCCATATCCATGGAACGTTAGCTTGAAGTAGTGAATTCATTGGGGCCAAAATCTTAGCTTTGTCAGGAATAAACTTACCAAGAAAGTTTACCATCCCATTGAACCTTTGAAGTTCTTTTACGTTTTTTGGGCAGTCCATTTTGAGAATGGCGGAAACCTTTTCCTTATCAACAGAAATTCCATCGGATGAGAGGAAATGCCCGAGGAATTTAATACTTGACTTCCCAAACTCAGTTTTGTCTTTGTTAAGTGTCATTCCTACATTTTTAAGCTTTTCAAGTACTTGCCGAACAACTGTATCATGTTCTTCTTTCGTTTTGCCCCAAATCAGAATATCGTCCATATGGACTGCGACATTTGACTGGTTGTCTAAGATTTTGTTCATGCATTTCTGAAAATGTTCAGGTGCTGATGTGATTCCAAATGGAAGTTTGAGAAATTTAAAACGTCCAAAAGGGGTAAGGAAAGTAGTTAGATCCTGGGAATTTACATTTAAGGGGACTTGCCAAAAACCACTGTTTGCATCAAGTTTTGAAAACCATTTTGCTCCTGAAATTGAGCTGAGAGACGTTTCAATTTTGGGAATCGGATGATAAGACCGCTGGATGGATTCATTCAACTTTGTTAAGTCAACACATATGCGGACATCTCCATTAGATTTAGGCACTACTACCATTGCTGAGCACCATTCAGTAGCATGCTCAACTGGTGTGATTACATTATTTTGGACCATACTTTCTAGTTCTTTTTTCACTTGACACATTAGGGGTAAAGGTACTGTCCTAGGAGTGGTTATTGCGTATGGCTTTGCGCCATCCTTAAGTGCTATTGTGTAGGGATCAGGAATGACGCCCAGACCACTAAACATTTCATGGTATTCGGTAAAAAAGTCACTGTCTACCTCTGCAACTGAATTAACAAAAGTTAAAATCTTCAAGTCCTGTATTGCTGGACGACCAAGCAAGGGTGTTATGAGTCCCTTCACTACGTATACCATGTGATTTATTTTAACATCTCTGTATTGGATATTAGCTCTAACACAACCTACAGTTTCTAATTTTGTTCTACCAACCCCAAACAACTCAACTAGAGTCGGCTGGATCCTACTTGGATCAACTATGCCAGGGGGAATTACTGTTACATCTGCCCCTGAATCAATTTTAAATGTTTGTGGCTTTCCCTCAAATAGTAATTCTAGTTTCCAGGGCTTACATTTTGACCCATCCCCAAGTGTACCTATGAATACTTTATTATTTGAAGGTCCAAGTTCACTTACTTCATTTTCATCAGTTACTTCCTGTGCTTCTTTAGATCTGCAGACCTTCGAAAAGTGACCAATCTTTTTGCATAAGTTACATGTTGCGCTTTTTGCTGGACACGTGCTTCTTGGATGAGACGGTTTATAACCACACCAGATACATTGCGCTGGGTATTCTTGTTTCTTTTGACAAAACCTATATCCTTGATTTTGGTTTGAACGCGATGACGTAGTTGCTTCAATTTGAACTCTTCTCTCATCACATAAATCTGCCTTCTCTTTCTTTACGTTATCTGCATGTCTTATTACTGTAATGGCCTTGTCTAAATTCATCTCGGGATCTAGCAACAAGCGATCACTAAGTTTCTCATCATTTAAACCCAATATTAGTACCATCAACACCATTTCATCATTAAGTGAACCCCAGTCACAGGTTCTAGCCAAGGAATGGAGACTAACTATAAACTCTTCAACTGTTTCATTAATTTTTTGTTTTCTCTTCAAAAACTTTGCTCTTTCAAAAATTAAGTTCCTCCGTGGAATAAATTGTTTGTCAAATAAATCTAAGACTTCTTCAAATGTTAGCGTTGATTCGGTTGCTAAATTAAAAGATGCAAAAATCTCATCAGCTTTCTCACCTAATGTGTATATAAGAGTGTTGATTTGTTTGTTCTCAGACTCTTCAGATAGCCCAGATGCTGACCGATATCTTTGAAATCGTGTTTTCCATCTTGGCCAATCTGCTGGTACAAAGGAGAAACTAGCTGGAGGTTGAATTACTGAATGAGTGTTTGATACAATGATTGACTTCTTAGTTGAATTGTTGTATTCATTTTCTCTGCTTCTTTCATTTTCATTATCTTCATAGTCAGATTGTTTCCTTCTTGGATTTCTCTTCTGAGGCATAGCTCAAAACCGCTGCCACCATGTACTATTTGACTAAGAATTAAGTGAATGCACTGTTTTATGTCATAACTCAAACTCAACTAACTTTATTTACCTTTTTACAAACATAGAATAACAAATAAACATATGATAATAATTAATAGAAATTAACAGGTGTTATGAAATAAACTGTCTCACAACAGAAAGCATCATCAACGTATCTAGTGTAGAAAATGATTTTATTGTTTCATTGATTGTCATCATTAACCATTTTCTATACTAGATACGTCAATGATGCTTTCATCGTCCTGAATAGTTGAATGTTAAATGACACACTCGTGTTGATGTTAAGGAAGTGCTCGGGATCTTCTGCAAAAGACCCCTTTACTCATACTTGAAAATTAACTGATACTCCTGTCAAGACATTGAGTGGGAAATGTGTGTTACACCCCTCAAACTTACTCAGGTTTTGGCAGTTGAAAATCGTTCACAATATTAACCCTGTTGAACTTTTAACTTTTGTAGTTTGTATGACTTTCACTATGATGATAATCTCTTTTGGTCTCTTAAAACTAAGTTTCATACTATAGTAATGGTATTTTATTACATTATTCTAGACACTCCATGTCTAGCGCTGTGTACTTCTCCACTGTTGGTGTACATAATAATATCAGTTGAGTTAAATAAATAAATAAATATGACAGGCTCTCATGCTTCTTTGTCTTTCACTCTACTTCATCTGGACAACCCATAGATAATGATATTTTACCTCTGTATTTGTGAATAAAATATTCATAAAATGATGTATGATAAAGCATATTGATAATATTTGGTGATGGCTGTGGTAGGTGAGTTACTCACACAACACCAGCTACTGCAGTGTAGTGTAGCAGAGTAGTGACTGCAGCGTACCGTGTTTCAGCTGAAGATGGCTGTGTTCAACAGAGAGGATGGCAAGCTGGCGATGGGAAGCAAAACCCCTGTCTCAATCCTGCAGGAATTGCTACATAAAAAGGGAATGACTCCACACTACGAACTCATTTACAATGGCACAGGAACTAAAGACCCTCTTTACAAGTTTAAAGTGTCAGCAATGAATATGATAGCTATTGGTGACGGGAAGACAAAAAAAGAGGCAAAACACGATGCTGCTGCGACGTTGTTAAATAGGCTGCTGGGGAATAGAGAATTTGAGATGAATGGTATGGACTTTGTCGAAGGAAATCACAAGGAAGGTGTAGATATAGCCTCACCGTATACTGGTTCGATAAAGATGAACTTTGTTGGCAAGTTGGATGAAATCTGTGTCCTCAACAAGATTCCCATCGCCAATTACACTCTAGCCTCGGAAGAAGGTCCGCCTCATGCGAGAATCTTTGCTATGAAATGCACTTTGGGCAAGTTCTCTGAAGTTGCTGTTGCTCGCACAAAGAAGCAAGCCAAACATTTAGTGGCTCAGAAAATGATTGACAAGATGGAGAAACTTCTGAAAGAACGTTTTATACCCGCCCAGGAAAATGAGGAGCCTGCAGAAGAAATAGTGAGGGATCAAGAAAAGATTAAAAACGGGAATTTCATTCATGACTGGTCGTACGAGGTGAAACAACTTCATAATATTTTTCACGTGCGAAAAGACGAGGTCCAACTTCCCTCCATTTTTGTGAGTCTACCTGAAAAACCAGAGGAGTTTTACAAGTTGATGGAGGACCCAATGACATTTCTGGAGGAAGTTGTTGATGCCCTGGAAGGAGTTGTAACAAGGACTTCCATCTCTCCAGATAAGATTGGGTCTGCTTTGGAAGAGCTGTCTGAATTGTTGTTTGAAGATGATTTTCCCGACTCGTATAAAGAATTGAAGGAAATTGAGGCAAAAGAACAAGGAAGTGAAAGTGACAGCATTATCAATGTATTACCTGAATTCCTCTCATCAGACCCAAAAGAAGATGAAAAGCCAACTAACTCCTCATTTGTTGGAAGTAAAATTGATGAATGTGTTGATCAATTTGAGAATATTGAAATCGTCGAAGATTACACTTTAGTTTTTTGTAATGTAAAAGTAGAAATCCCTTTGGGCCTGTGGAATTTTATTGGCAGAGGAAGAAATGAAGAAGAAGCTTCTGTAAATGCTGCTAGGCAAGCTTTACAATTCCTTAGAACTATGGCCATTCCTCCTCCTGGGGAATTTTCGTGATAAGTTATATTTCAAATTTCAAACACCGGCCTTGACATCAAAGAATTTTTTTCCAATCAGGCAAGGTTCTTTATTATAGAGAAAACCCCACTTGTAGCAAATTATCAACAGAACCATTAAAATTTAAGTTTTCTGTTTAGATTTTACTAGGAAATTACAATCAAAGTTTAAGACACCTGATAAAAAAAAAAAAAAAAAAAACTATTTAACCCTACAACACATATAGTAAAAACGGCTGTTTGTTGTGTGGTATGACCAAAACACGTTTTAACATTCTAGTAGCAATTTTACAAACAAATTAATGTTTTCCAAGTAAAAAGTTATAAAACTTATTTCCACTTTAAGGTAAAAAAAATCCTTCTGCAGAGACCAAACTGATTGTAATGTTGTTTCAAAAAAGAAAATTTCACTGAGGACATGTTTTAAAAAGCTATAATGTACACAGGCACATTTATAGTACACTAAAGAAGCAGGTTAATATTTTGTTGTGAGTAATAAATAGAATGAGGGGGACACTTCTGACAATTGCACAGTTTAATATGGTTCAAACTTGTCTCCGAGGCCGAACAATGCATTGCCCTTTTACCTTTCAAAGACCAAATATGGGATAGATTTAGCAGTTAAAAACCTTACAAGGACAACAACAAAATATGAATTTACATCCATTGGGATGAAAATCAATGGATTTATGCTCTAGTGAATATACTATTTCAGCGGAGAAGTGTTTTGTTTGGAAAACAATCAATTTTTTTTTTATTTGTGTGGATAGTACAGCACACTATCTCAGAGTACCTATCTTAAGACTGGTAGATTTTGGATTATTTAGTCATTGTTTGTTTTTCAAGCTACAAGTGTTAAGAATTAAGTGTTAACGGTGCGAGCATTATAGTTCCCACACAAGGTAAGACGAGGAATGTTATTGTTAAAACCTTCCTGGACAAATCAATCACAATATCTTTAACACCACCACACTACCAGCAACAGATATACATGATCTTAGCTTTGTTGAGGCTTGAGAACCTACTAAAGAAATGTTATGTTCTTTTTATATATTTATATTATTATATTGTTTTATTTGTGAAAAAAAGCATCGTAAGAGTACTCAGCAAATTTATTGAGCTCCAACTGATTTTATTGAGTGCCTTTTCCGAAAAAATTTCAAATCAGATCAAAATAAACTTGATTAATTAGCCTATATGCACTTGCATTACATTGAACACAGTCAATCATTCTGAAGTACAATAATAAATAATAAACTGAGATATTAATAAACAAAAACAATATTTTTAAGAGCCTTTATAATTAAGTAAGTTACAATCATATAAGTTTCAAATAAATTATTCAAAAGGGTAAAAAGCCCTTCCAATAAGGTAGTTTTTTAGTTTTCTTTTAAACGATTTTCTTTGCTACAACTAGACCAGACATCAACTGCTTACTGTGTAGGTAGTGTGGTAAAAAATATATTACATAAACCATCTTGTTTTGGAACTTTCAACTTTTATTAGCTCGCATCGTATACTAAAACTAAATATAAGAATCAATAATGCTCAAACTGTTATGGATTTGTAAAACTACTAAATCCCTGCCTTATAAGGTTCTTAAATTTTCTATTTGTAAATACTGTATAAAACACAGGTACTTTACAAAAAGAACTAAAGGGCGAGTGCACCAGTGAATCACCGTTTTGTATAAAAAATTGAATAGAAACTTTGGTGCCCACTTGGAATCTAACCTGTTCCTGGTTCAAAAAAGAAAGTTTTAATAATCCTTTAGTAAGCTAATAAAAACAAAATTAAGTGTTCCAACCAGTTTATCTTCAAGATTTCCACTATTGTGTCTTATAACAACAAGGTCGGTTGTATTCATTTTCCATGATTATTGATTATTACTGATTATTGATTATTATTATTGATTATTGTTATTATTATTGATTATTATAATTATTGATTTTATTTGATTATTGATGGAAACTGCAATATATTATTTATGTAATTCATAGTAAACGTGTTAAGGTATAAAAACCAATAATTATCTGATCAATTGGTCATTTACTGGATTACATCTTCGAGTGTAACCATTGAATGAAGTTTTGGGTTGGGTCAATTTTCTTGATGGATGTTGATGACGATGTTTTCTGATGGTTGGAACACAAAATCTCATCAGAAATCATGTGGATACACCAATTATACAGAATATGACCATGGGTTAAAGGTTACGGTAATTTACTTGATGAAAAGTCTCATCCACTAGATAACAATCTTGAACCAAAGATATATGTGTGATAAACTGTATTTTTGGCACAATATTCCAAGTGATATAATTAGGAAGTAAAGGAGAATCTAAGAATACGTTGAAACTATTCTTTACACTGCAGCTTAATTGCCTACTTTCCCACGGATACAAGTGTAAACTCGAGCTTAATATCATCCACTGGTGCCCTCACCCTACCTTATGACCATTATGTTCCCAAAGATTGTATTTGTTCTTTTGGTTTGTTTGAATACATTGATACAAAAATGTTTTTCTGGTTTGTTTATTTCATCTCCTTGTCATAAAAAGAGCTTAGTTCAATAGAGCAACTAACTAGAGTGATGTGAGTGTTATTCAGAGTGGGTTGTTGTAAACAATATTTCCTCAGAACCAATCAAAGCCCTTGGAATGAAGGTATTTTGTGTCAGGTCCACATATTTGAGAACTTTTCTGTACCTATTGTTAAAATAAAAAATGAATTGATGTCCTAAAATGACAATACAAAAATATAATCTGAATGTAGAGCAGTAAGACTACCTTATGTTTGAATTTTAATTATTAAGGCTTGTGTCAAAAATCCCTCCCATTGAATTATTGTGGACTTAATACTTACAATGAAATAATAAGGATGTATTATTACCAAAAGTCATCACAGATTTAAATTTACAATTAATTTTTATGTTTGGGGCAAATATGAAAGGATTATAAAAATTGATCTAGATCTTAGTGTAACATTGTTAGTTGCTAAAACCTTTTGACTATTGATGCAACTAGACATTCCATCCCCATGTTGAAGTTGTCAGTTTTTTTATAAAAATCGTAGTTGATGTAAGCCACCAACAGTTTGTGCTGCTCTAAATTACTAATTTCTGTCGAAAAAGCAAACTTTTTTACCTAGTCAAACTGAACTAAAGCAACCGTTGTAAACTATTACAGCAACAAAAAATAAGGTAGAAAATATAATTTTGACACCAGCACATTCTGTGTCTGGCTCACACAACTATGTTAATTTTTAATAAAAAAATGGCATTAGCTGGTCCATATAGAAGGGATGTCTACTTCAGTATCCAATAGTCAAACCCAGTTGATTCCTTGACCAAGTTTCCAATAATAGTAGGGTCCAGTTTTCAACTTCCAACTATGAACAAAACCAAACACAACTTTAATAATTACTGACTTACAAAATAAGCTCCACGCTCCAAGAGGTAATTACTGGTTGAAAGATTTAGCTAACCAATCTTCCTCTTACAGACTATTACATGTGCTGCACCCTAGAAGTTCAGATTACAACCACAATACTTGGGCTTTGGCCAAATTGTATAGTGCTATAAATAGTTTGATCTGACCAATGGCAGAGCAGTCTAATCCCCCTGGCCAGGAGACAGCGCAGGTTAAAGTAGTGCAACTGATGTGTTCTCCAGTATATGACTGTTAGAGCTTGGTGGAAGAGGCTGAATAAATAAATAAACTGTTGATATCTTAGGTAAAGTCAGTGGAGTGGATTATTTGTAAATTGCACCTCGAATCAGACTTTGTGCTACAACTTTTGACCTATCCTTACTTGTTGCGTTTCCACCAAAAACTTGTTTTCAAACAATCAGCGTTTTGGATAAAAAATGAAGGAAAAGAATTATAAAATTTGCCCAATTAAATTACAGAATGGTTCTTGTAGTTCCAAAGGGTTGCAGAGCTTAACACTCAGTTCCAAGAAAACTTATGATGGGCAAGGGGATCCATCCAAAAGTTTGAAAACCCTTAGAATAAGTATCCAACATATGATACATGACATATAGGATTTACATAAAAATAATCTTAGTATTGATCTTTCTTAGTTGCTGCTATCATGGATCAAAATCTAATTCGGAATTTGCAAAGCTGCTAGTAGTATTTAAGTAAAAGTTGTGTATCCCCCAAAAGCAATAATTATTTCATGTAATAACCTAAAACCCTGTAATATTGTCACGGTCATGCTACAAGGATTATAAACAATATAAAAGGATAAAATTTAAAGTTTTCAATCCTCATGTTAATTACAAATTGACACTTCTGCTGGAATACAGAAAAAAAGAAATTCAGTGACTTAATAATCAAGCATTTTGGAAAATCATTAAATTACTACGCTTAACAATCCTTGTGAGAATGGTATAAATTCCCTTAACAGTGACAGAGAACTTTTCCTCTTGCAGTAATCCTCGACTGGTATCAAGATGGCTGAGAACATTTTCCTCTTTGTGCCAAACCTGATCGGCTACGCCAGAGTAGTATTGGCAATCATTTCGTTCTACTATATGGCCACCGATTGGTCGGTCGCCGTAGTCTGCTATGTTATCTCTGGGCTGTTGGATGCTCTTGACGGACATGCTGCCCGTTACCTCGACCAAGCCACCAAATTTGGCGCCATCTTGGATCAATTGACTGATCGCTGTGGCACCATGTGTCTGTTGGTGACGCTGAGCAACTTCTATCCGAGGTGAGATGTTGCGTTGGTAGCTGTCCTATAAAATGCAACCTTTCTTTTAAAGGGTATTTGCTTTTTTTAAAATACACCTCTTGCTTAAAGATTATTTTTATAAGAAGATAGAAATCAGCAAGCTTAGAGAAAAATTACAGTTAAAGTTAAAAACTCGAGTCTCTTTCTTTATAAGGCCGGGGCCACACTTGTAATTTTTAACCAGCGAGACTGTTTTTTCTGTTTTTACGTGCGACGCACGTGAAACAGTTTGCCCGTGGCCACACTCGTCTTATGAGATAGGTTTTTTGGGCAAACCAGTGAGACTGATAGAGCATGCCACACTGGCAATAAAAATCGTCCGTGTCCGTGATACGCACTCCCCCCCCCCCTTCCACGCTCTCTGTACAGGTTAAAACTAGAAACGTCCGTGGAAAAAGTTCAGCGAGATAAAATGAGTGTGTTCACTCCCATAAGCCGCAATGCCCCGCGACTAGTTTTACGTGCAACGCCCGTGGGATGTTAGTAGAGAATACACGTGCAATTCCGTTTGTCAGTCTCGCTGGTAAAACCAGTGAGACTGACAAACGCGTTCACGGACGTTTTTACTCTAGTGTGGCCTGCCCCATATACCGTAATGTATCTCTCAAACCCACGGGTAACGCCCGTGGAAAAAAATCAGCGAGATAAGATGAGTGTGGCCCCGGCCTAAAGAGTGTTAGCTTTATTGTATCTAAAAGGTCAAGTAGCATCTTCCTCTGTATCATGTACTGACAGTCTCGCTCCTTCCCCAGGTACATGTTTTGGTTCCAGTTGTCCATGACTATCGACGTTGCCTGTCACTGGATCTACCTTCACTCGTCCCTTCTGCAAGGCAAGACCAGTCACAAACTCATCGACCTTGGTGCCAACCCCATTATGAAGATATACTACACGAGCCGACCTGTTCTGTTCTTCATGTGTCTCGGAAACGAAGCATTTTTTGCCTCCCTTTACGCAATGCATTTTGCGGAAGGACCAGTCATCGCTGGGATCGGGTTGTTCCGCCTGATTTGTTACGCGTCCGCTCCTGTGATGGCAGTAAAGACGGCCATCTCACTTGTGCATGGCTACGTTGCGTGCTGCAACATTGGCTCTATGGACGTTCAGGAAAGAGAGAACAGGAAGAAGTAAAGGATTCAATAACAAACCTGGCTTTGGGTTTTGGGATGCGTGTTTGGGGATCGCAGATTACAATGGTTTGAGGCCGTTCCATTCTAGTAGTTTTGTAGAATTCCTGAGAGAATACATGCTAGATTTGGTAATTTTGATTTATCAATGAGTCACCCAGTGGCTGTAAACAAAATGGTACTTCTACATTATATAACAGAACTGTCAAAGTATGGAACAACAAAATTTAAATCTGTTCTTGAATTCCCATTACCTTTTGTTGTGCCATTCTCAGACCAAAGCTTCTTAAATATACATTCTTTATTACGTTATTCATGGACCAAAGAAAGCATTTAGTTTTTATCTGTTTTTCTACCCTTGTAAAAGTTCTTTTGATACTTTTAATGAGTAATTTATATTCATATTATGATGAAGATAGTTTATGTTTTAAATTATTATTGTAATGTTGTTTAATTTATACTTTTATTGCCTATAAATCTGTTGTATCATAAATGGCATATTCTGTAGTATAGTACAGTACTGATATTGTTGAATGTTCTGAAGTATAGATTACATCTACAACATAGTTTTTATTTAGTAAGTTAAAACTGTCTATACAAATAAATTCTTAATTTTCTATTGAAAAATATTTGTTTAATTATTAGGCTGCTATGATTATGTAAGTTGATCTTTCAAATTGTTCCAAATAAATTAATAAAAACTGTACACCATACTCAACAATAGATTTAAATAATGAGGTGTGTAATTAAGTTAGAACAAAGTCTTTAAAAATATGTTAAAACAAAAACAAAATCTAAATATTATAAAACAATAAAAAATGTTAGATCCTTTTTAAAAAGAGAAATTCTTATGATCAGGAATTATTTTTGTTACAAATAATTGGAAAGGGAGTACCTACTTTAAGAGTGATAGAAAATGAGCCACTTTAGGCCCTAGTGATGAAATAAACTATTTTAGTATATTTACACTACTTTTACAGTATTTAAAACAGCCCCTTTCAAGTTGTTGTATAGCAATTCAAAGTTGTTTGTGCATTTCAATACTGTGCATAAACTAGACTCTATATCCATAATACAAATTCTCCCTTTTTCCTTTATTTTTTTGTTTGTTCATTTATATACAAGGAAAAAAAATGAAAAAACAAACTGTGAAAAAATCACATTTGTGGAACTTTGCCTATTCTCCATTCGTGCAAAAGTAACATTAGCTACAATGTTTTTAGGGTAATTATGGAGCTCTTTGTGAATTGTCAAGGTGTTGCAGAAAATTAGTGTTTGTTTTCGTCTTAGTGTTTAGTATTTAAGTGTTAACCATACTCATATAAAGTTTAATCCAAGTATGCACTTCATCGTGAAAATCAGAGTAACCATAACTCGATGTTACACTGAATCATTCTTCTTGTAACTGTACTTAGTTGTTTTAAATGTTGTTTCTATTATTGTCACTATCATTCCTGTGGTATTTTTTACAGGTTGTTGTGTCTTTAGTTGTATTTTTCTACTGCTTGAGTTACCATGTTTATTTAGTGTTATATTTTATCTAAGGATCAAACACTGGTGGAAAATAAATTATTCTAAAGACATCATGGTTCTGAGATAAAAACTGAAATAGATTAATACAAGATTTTGATTGATTGCAACTAACCAAAATCA